TTGGGTTTGCAGTTATCCACTCATCGAACAGACACCAGCTATGTAAGTATCTAGGCGAACGTATGATGCGGGGTTGAGCGTTTGGGGGAGGGCCTTCAAAGGATGCCCATAACGCAAGGCCTTGTCTCTGAGGCTTACACCCTTACGGCTTTCAGTAAACGCCACAGAATGACCGGAATGAACATTTTAAGGAAAATGCTGTGCTACCGACTGCACTCCTTTCCTCCCCAAACCACATGCAAGGCACATCTTTCTTTTTTTAAAAATTAAACGAGCTTTATTAGGGAGCTTTATTCAACGCAACATGCCTACGAGGGGTGAGTGGGGCATAAAACTGACAGATTCCTAAGCTCCTGAGACATTCAAAGTCGTCCAGGTTCCGCCTGGCGCTGTAATTCCCCGCCCCCCAAACCAGTGTCCTCCCCGCGCCGTCCTCGCCCCTCGCCGCCACCTCTGGAGCGCAAGCCCCGGGTCTCCGGGTCCCGGTCCCCGCGGCCGCCCCCGCAAGGCCGCGCACGCCTCCAGCGGGAGCCTCGGCGGAGGCCCCCCGGCCCGCGCCCTCCGCAGCGGCCCGGCGCGGCCCGCGCATCCCGGCCCGCGGGCTGGGCGCCCCGCGCGTGTGCCGGCCCCACCGCCCGCGGCCACCAGGGCCCGCGGCCCCGGCAGAGCCCCGCTCCAGCCGCCGCTACTCACTGCCCATGGCGGCGGCTGCGGAGGCCCGGCGGGGCGCGGCGGCCTGGGCGCTGCCTTTGCTCTACTCGCGCGGCTCGGCCTGGGCGCCGGCTCCGACACGCTCCAGCCGGCCCGCGCAGGCTCCGCCGCGCCACGTGACCGCGCGCGCCCGCCCGGCCCCAGCCGCCCCCGGCTCCGGCCCCAGCCGTTGGCCGGCGGTCGCCGCGTTGCCATGGTCACCGCCGGCGCTGCGACGCGGCCGGCCGGGAGGCGGGGCTGACCCGCGCGTGCCTGCGCGTCGCGGCCGGGTTGCGGGCTGGGGAGTCTGGACGCTGGTGCGGTCGCCGGGGCTTTGCTTTCGAGGACCGCTCTCACATCCCGGGGTCGGGAAGCTGCCGTTTCTTTGCTCGCCGCGACCGACCCAGGCCTCCGGCGTGGCCCGCGGGGAGGCAGCGGCCCCGGCTTCTGTGCACGCGGCCTGGGGCCGAGGCGACCGGCCCGGACCAAGCTTTGATTTTGCTTCCATCTTACCGTAACCTCTTGGAAGTTTGTAAAAATTTGCGACCCATCGTGCATAGTAAATAGCTTATGAACTCTTCTGCCCTGTCTCCTGCGTGCGCTCCTTCTCCATCCTCTCCAAGATACGGATCAGGATTTTATGCCCACTCCTGTTGAGCATTTTCCTGGAGCCACTGTCTTCTGACCAGTGTGGCTAATGTCGCCATCGACACTAGGCTCCCTGTTTGACTGCGAGGTGTAAGGGAAAGCGCACAGTCTCAGAAATCAGCCAGCGCTGTACATTTTAATCCGTCCTCTGCTTCCGGATGGGTTTGGGCAATAAACCTTTCTGAGCTACCTCCGTAAAATAATAATAATAATACCCCTCTCCTCAGGGTGTGAAAGATAAACGCAGAGATTAGCACCTAGAGGCCTTTAAATTTAGTTTTCTTACTCAAATTTTGACCTCCTGCAACCTATCTTCTACTCTGACATCTGCTGAAACGAGATCTCTCAAACATAACTAATCACCAAAGAGTCGAAGGGTCTGTGCTAATGTTGAGATCCATGTCTAAGAATGAAACGTGTGTGTGTGTGTGTGGTGGGGGGGGGAGGGAGGTGCAATTTAGGCCAAACTGCTCGGGTTATGCTCTACTTGCCATCAGCTGGGACAGCTCCAGGACTTGAGTGATCAGAATGCTCTCTCACTCGCAAAACTGGCATTGGATGCTGGCTGTCAGCTCCAACCCCTCCATATGGCTTCTGCAAGTGGCCTGGGCTTCCTCACAACATAGTAGCAGGGTGCCAAGGGAAGTCCTTGGAAGTGACCCAGCTTCTCTTTCACTGCATTGTTTGTAGAAGAAGCCATAAAGGCCTGCTAAATTTCCAGGAGGGGCAATGAACATCACCTCTAGGAGAGGGAGTGGCAAGGTTCTGGAAGAGCATGTGGGACTCAAAATAATGCTGTGGCCATTTTGGGAAAATCCAATCTGCCACAGTCATAATCTCTCATCCTTTGAATCCATCCTTACCTCACTCTACTTTGTGTCAGTAATTTTCATACTTGTCTGATTTCCCATACTACACAGTAAACTTCTAGATGAGGTTGAGTGTTCTTAATTTTTGTGCTGCCTAGAGAAATCTGCAAATGATTGAATTAAATTCAGTGTTGGCATTTCAAAACTGAAATGTCAAATTCATGTGACAAATTTTAGATTGTGAGCTAATTTCATGAAAACAGTACCTTTCCAATAAAGATGCAGTAAATTGAAGATCTAACTGACAGAAGGTAAAGAGTATCCTGTACCTCTCTTTACTGCCCATTTCTAGGATAGTGGCATGTCTCAATAAGAGCCTGGGAATGAGCTTTGACATTCTGGATAATTTTTGTGAATTACTCTTCAGCCTTTCTACCACTGCATGCTAGGCAGGACTTTTCTTTGTCCAACCACGACATGCCACCTAATTTACAGCTATCAGGAATATCACTGTACTTTGACCTTTCACATTGTTTTAGCACATACAAGAACAGTTCTCTGTGTGTAAAATGCTTTGTTTTCTCAAATAGATTGTTACACCATTGAGGACAGAGGGCAACTTATTTTATCTTTTACTTCTATGTATTTCTGAGGTCCACAACAATATCATGTATGGAAGAGGTGTCCAATAAAATATTGATGAAATACCATTCTACTCTTTTAAAGGAACATTTCTTGTTTTCTTTCAAATATGGCTGGCTCTCCATAAACATCAGAGAAGACAAAGCAAAACGACATTAAAGGAAGACAAGTTTAATGAAAGTTTCCTAAAATTGAGTGATTTTGCAATCGGCAGTGGGGAAATGAGTCTGCTTTAGACTTTGTTGTATCATATTTAAATAAAACTTGACAATGAATTACTATTTCTATAGAGCAATTTCAGAGTTGTGTAATAGTATGTAATAAATATTGCAGATTTAAACATTTTGTCCAAATTTCCCCAAAATATGATAGTTTGAGCCTGGATCCTATGAGAAGCTGAAGATGAAAACCAAATATGCAAGAACATCCATGAAAAATGTAGGTGAAGCTTTTGGAAACTTAACACTGAAAAGTCTTATTCTTAATCTGTGAATTCCTTCCATATTTCCTCAATTTTGAAAAAGGGATACGTTTCTATTGTCAGTCAAGGAATAAAGCTTTGAAGAGGAAAAAACATGGGGCAGGAACTACAGGTAAATTGGTTCTGGGGAGGTTTTCATTTTAATAATGAAGTGAGTGAGTTAAAGGGTTTGGATGGGGACGTGACAAGGAGGTGACTGCTAAGGAAGATTACATTTAGAATCAATAGTAACATTTTCCCAAAAGAACAGGAAACAAGGGGATACACTTGGACTAAATCATGGGGACAGATAATTTTTCAACTTAAACAGTAGATGTGTCACTAATGGGTGAGAATCCAATAATATTTGTCAACTTCATGACAGTACCTGAAACACTTCTTCAAATCACCTAGCTCATCAGGGTAGTAGGTGATCCCATTTGATGAAATGATGGGACAAGTGAGAATTTATGAGATTCAAAAGGCTTAAGGAAGGTCTAAAATATTTGTGATTCATAATGAAGCATAGTAGGACACCAAATTTTAAAAGTTGTTGGGTGACTTGTGATACTGTACTAAAACTGGCTGATGTCCTAATCATGTGCTGGGAATGCAGCCACGGGAAGGACAACATTTGGAGTCATGTGGGACTGGAGTCCAGATCATCAGATATGGTGAGCTGTGGAGGGATAGGATAGCTTAGTTTCTTCTATGTGTATGTTAAATTGTGGGTGAAACATCTGTGAAGCTGAGAAGGGGGGCTAATGTGTGGGTGGTGGAGATTCTCCTCTGGTAGGAGCACCAGGGCATGAGGAGTGACAATGTGAACATGCAGTGATGACACAAAGGGTGGCTCATCTGAGAGGGGACACATCCAGGTAATGTCCATCTGGTATCTACATCTTAAGATAAACATGTGAGGGAATTTGAATTTGGAGACAAGAGAGCTAAGTTTACATTCTAGTTCTATCATTGTCTAGCATGAAATTTTGTTATATTAAAAAAACTTTCTGAATATCACATGTCAAATGGGTATCCATCCAATCCATAAACAGCTAGGCTGTTAGAGGATTAAGTAAGAGATGAATGTACATTCCAGTCACAGGGTCTCAACTAAAACCACCGGAATAGCTTTCTTTGTTTGGAACCTCAGAGTCAAAGGGTTATCATCTAACTCCTGCTCATGACACATTATTACTATTTGTTCATGCTCTACATCTGATCGTTAGCATCATTTCATGCAGAACTTTGGATAGGACAAATGCTTTCATAAACATAAACTGTGAAATGAAGTCATAATCCTACTAATAGTCTTCTCCATGAAGATAGATCTATATAAATCAGTGCTGACAATTAGAATTATTTGTTTAATGACACTGTAATAATTGTAATAAATCCAAACATTGACAATGACCACAGTATCAGTATATCAAAATGATGTCTATCTAAATCTAAATCTATAACTATATATAATGATAAAACTTATAAAATACAAATAACCTATCACTTAACTAAAGTATTAATGAAAACTTGGTTGTTTGGCACTTTGTGTATGTAAGAATCAGCAATACTGGTTTCAATTCCAAAATTCACTTATTAATAAAAGTCAAAGAGGCCAAGAAACATCATTTAAAACACTGTATACATTTTTATTTTAAATATATGATACATGATACAAAAAAACCTTTTCCAAAGATTCTCCCATGTGACATATTTAATAGGAAACAATAATTAATAAAATGCCATGCAAATAGCCTAGTAATATAGTTTTATTATCTTTAAGTTCATAGATTTTTTTTTCTGTAAAATTTGTACATATTTCTAGATCTTGATTTACAATTAACACATCAAGAGGTTACAGGAGAAGATATATGGGATCCAGATGCATATTCAGAAGCAGCTGGAAAAAAAAAAGAATTTTATTTTTTGTCTAAAATTTTCATCAACTAAATGTAAGTCGGTAAATAAGAGCCGAGAACTTTGTCAATGTTAATAAGGTTGAAAAATATGTATGTACAAGTATAATACAAAATTGCCAGTAAATATAATTTGCCTATAGTTGCAGATTGAATTAATTATTATTGTGGTTAAGTATCACAGTTTCTGCTTTTCTCATTCTCCATTCACTCACCAGCTCTGTCCTAAGGGACTATAGCAAACACTGGAATTACAAGATGATGATAGAAAAAACAAGAACAAAAAAACAAAACTGATGACAAGTAAATGACTACAACTTGAAAATGTCACCTGTCAAATGACTACTTATGAACTTTAATTGCTTAACTATGTGTTACTAGATGATTCTGGGATCTTTGGGCCTTAAATCACTACCATAAATCTGAGAAGTTGATGAGGCCTTTGGATGCTGAGACTAACTTTAGAGTGCTGTGTGATGGTCCCACAGGGATGGCAGAAGTTTAGAAAATGTAGAGCCAGAGAAAAAGATGCATAGACTTCCTGAGATTTTTTTAAAGCTAAGGAACATGATGAAGTAATGAAGCATACCTATATTTTTCATGATGAATGTTTATGTTTTTGCAGTTTTCAGTAGATGTGTATGTAAGAAACAAATATTTAATGTGTATATTAACCAAAAATAGAAAAAGATGCCACTTGCTATTCACAGTTTATTTAAGAAATTAACAATTAATTTCAATTTAATTCATAAATTTTGGCAACATACCTTCTTCTAGGTCATTTGTTTTCTCCAAACTCCTGCATCTGAAATAAGACAAATATTATTTATGTTTAAGCTAAAGAAGAGACATTATCAAGGAAATGACATATTACTTACAAAATGTGGTCTTTAAATACTATTTTTAGAGACTAGATCTAACTTGAGAATTCTTAAATAAAAAATAATCATGACTGAAATAAAATTCCTACTTATTTAATAGAAAACAGCTAAGTGTAATGCTGTTTAGATTAATATGATAAAATATAATTAATATTGACCTATAGAATATACATCATTTCTGAACAGTGATGTTTTCTCTTATTAATATAATGGTTAAACATTCAAGTAATATTTTACAATGAATGCAAAATTTTATAATTCTTAGCAACACTTTGCTCTTTACAAAAGTTTCATCAGTTTTTTCACTTTAATGGATTTTTCCTTAAACTTAATTTTCCACTCTCCAGTTTAGAAAGTTAGAATTTTAAGATATAGTCTATGCTATTAACCTTACAGCACATAATCTTAAATATATACATGAAGAAAGTGGTACTGTCATAATGTCCTGTGAAAATTCTACTGGCAAAAGATTATGTAAAATATTATGCTATCTGTATTATTATTATTTCTTTATTCATATAGACACAATAATTTCAGAAAATTTTCTTGAAGACAAGAATAAATATAGGTTAAACCCAGTTGTTAACCTTAGTTTCTTTGATTCAAAACTTTAAATCTAAGGCAGTTTGAACCATGGCAATTTGACAGTAAGTTTAATTGCAAAGATGTGGAAACAACCCAAGTGCCCATCAATTCATGAGTGGATTAATAAAATGTGGTATATTTATACCATGGAGTACTACTCAGCTATAAGAAACAATGATGATATAGTACCTCTTGCATTATCCTGGATAGAGCTGGAGCCCATTCTACTAAGTGAAGTATCCCAAGAATGGAAAAATAAGCACCACCTGTACTCACCATCAAATTGGTTTCACTGACCAACACCTAAGTGCACATATAGGAATAACATTTATCAGGCATTGGGCAGGTGGGAAGGGGAGGTGGGATGGGTATATACATACTTCATCAGTGCGATGCGCACCATTTAGGGGATGGGCGCACCTGAAGTTCTGACTTGGAGGGGAGGCAAGGGCAATATACATAACCTAAACATTTGTACCCCCATAATATGCTGAAATAAAAAAAAGATAAGTATATAAAGTGATGGATATGTTAATTTATTTAATCATTTCATAATATATGCACATATTAAAACATCTCATTGTACCCTGTAAATATATACAATTTTAATTTGTCAACTAAATAAAGCTGGAAAAATAATAAACATATAAAAGTAAAAAAAAGACTTTGTAAGTTTACAAACAAACAAAAATCCTCTATATAGTTCCTTAATTGTAACTTTGATTTCTTTTCAGAAATCATTATCAATTTTTTGAAATATCCAATTACTAAATTATGAAATGTGTAAAAATATTTCAAACTATTAATATATTGCAAGTGTCCCCATCTAGAGTATTCTTATTTTACTCTTATATAAAAGGTACTTTCTACTAAATACCAAGAACAAGGTCTCAAATATTCTGCTGAATATAATCAATACTTTGTGGTGATTATGATAAGATGATATCCAATGGCTTTAAAAATTTCAGGTGTGAAGACAAATTTTTTAATTTTTAAAGAAATTCTTGTAAAGACAGGGTCTTGCTAAGTTGCTCAAGCTGTTCTCAAACTCCTGGTCTCAAGCAATCCTCCTGCATTGGCTTCCCAAAGTGTTGGGGTTACAGGTGGGAGCCACTGCATCCAGTCTAACATTTTACTTCCTAGAATCATAGCTAAAAATCTCTAAACCTCTTGGTTTGTAATGCCCTATCCAAAAACTCATCCTTTTCTATCAATTTTGATAGTATATTACACTACCTCTCATAATATTATTTGATTTTTTTTTCTAGTGGAAATAATTAAATTCCTGATAACTCTAGAAAGCACCTTATTTCTATAACCCTAAGAATCTTACAAACAGCAACTGTATGAGAACTCTTTCAAGGCATTCTGCAGTGATTGTGGAGATATGTCTTTGTATCTTGATAGAATAGTGCTTTTTAATCTCTCATTATGTCTAATGTGATTTGGCAAACCAATGCTCCACAAGGAAATCATGAATACCTTGGAAGTACAAGTTCAGTTTAAAAGAAACAATTTTCAATTTATCTAGAAATATTAAAAACAAACACCCATTTCCCCCCCAATAATTATGGGAAAATATTTTCTCAAAAATCTCCCCTTTCATCACATCAGCATTTATACACTCTTTTCTCATGATCCTGTAAAATGTTAAATTACCTGATTTTTCTGGTAAGAACTAATGAGAAAATTTTATATTTGTATCATGCCTAATAAATTTACACAGCATTTAACAGTCTTTTAAATTTGTATCCAGTAGTCTAATTTCATAACTCAAAAGCACTTAGACTCCAATTATCCCTTTTTTTTAAGAAAAATAAAGCAAAACTAAGCTAACAAAATGATGAAAAATATCAGCTATAGCTAGGATCTTATAATTTAAGTTAAAACAATCATTTATTTTCTTTTCTCTTACGCTATTTGGCTGCAATGCTAAGAAACCTTATATTTGGTCTTCTACGATTTATTAGGACATCAAGCTAGGAAAAGAAACAAAGCTGAAGTCTTATTTAACATAAGACTACACTACTTTTCACTGCATTACGAACATGAAAACACCATCAGAACTAATAAGCCAGTGTGCATGGATTGAAATGGATATTTTAAGAGCAATAACACAATGAAAATTAGCTGCTGTTTTTGATTTTTGTTCATACTAATATTTTATGGGTTTTTGTAATTTTTTTTCACACAAGGTCTTGCTATGTTGCCCAGGCTGGAGTGCAGTGTGTATACATAGGCATGATCATAGTGCTTGAACTTCTTGAGCTCAAGTGATTCTTCTGCCTCAGCCTCTCAAATAGCTGGGATTATAGGCATGCGCCATTGTGCACAGCTTTTGTAATTTTCCCCCAGTAGGAAAATGGTCAAACATTAGATAAATAACTTAAACTGGGTCAAACATGGTTGAACTATTTTTTTTTCTTTACCAACTCTATAATTAATATAGCTTGTCATTGTTGGATCCATTTGAAGACCTGCAGAAATGAATTCTTACTGTGATTGAAGTCACAGGTGGGATTGTAAGATTCCTTTTACAGCTTGAGGGGAGATGGGGACCATACGTGACTTTACATGGAATTCTTGGTAGGAAGAATTAACTGATTCTGTTTGGTTGTCTTTGCTATTTAATCATTTAATATCATTGACATCTTAGTCATCAGTCATTCAAGTGGTGGCAAAATAGAGAGACATGAGTCAACTTCAATTTAAAAAATTCAAATAGTTACTTGATTTCACTATTTAAAAATTGTAGTACATTTTCCCAGCAATAGGAACATTTTACAACAATTGAGATAAAAATGCCATAGTTGCTTGATTTCACTATTTAAAAATTATAGTACATTTTCCCAGCAATAGGAACATTTTACAACAATTGAGATAAAAATGCCATAAGTTCCATAGCAATTAAAGATGTATTTGTAGGTAAGAAAATCACAAAACTTTTAACTTAAAAAACAAAATAATCTTTCTTAGTATTACAGGTTTATTTAATTCATAAAAAGTATCTAGCTTGGCTTCCTTTAAATAATAAACATCCCTATGTGGTTAAGTCTTTAGATGCCAATCATTCATTTCTGATTAGGTTTAGAAAACTTGAAATGGTGCAGGAAACCTTTAAAACATGATGAACCACAGACAAACTAAAATCAAGTAGAAAGTAAGGCAGAGCATCTGAAAGTATCTCTTTAATTATTATGTAATAACTAATATTCAATGTCTAAATCTAACTTAAAGGCAGCTTTTAAAGAAATTTAAAGTGGGTTAGCTTAGTTACATTATTGACTCAAGTTAACAAATGGGTATCTATTGAAAATGGACACTCTAGGGACTTAAACTGTAAAATTTCTTTTTTGTTTTTATTAACATGGATAATTATGGCCTTTACTTAATATGCATATGTCAGTTAAACAACTTAGTATTTCACCAAATTAAAAAGAAAAATTATATCAGAAATAGGAAACCCAAAGGAAAAAAATAATACAACTAACCTTAGTCAAGTGGTTTAACCAGGCTTTTATTCGAAGTCTTCTGGGCTTGATGCAGGGATCACTGTTTTTCCTTGGGGTAAATTTTCTGTTGAAACTAAACTTTCCTTAATATTTTCAACACAAGGTGTTGCAGTCAGAGAGGCACTTAAAGATCTGCTCTTCTGTTTCTCTTCGAGCAGTTTAGTCTTAACCTCTACTAGAGTGTCATGAGCTCTGTGAAGATTGCAAAAGACAAATGGTTAGTATTTCATTTTCCCCCTAAATGATTCCCAAGTGGCTTGCATTTTAAAATTTAAAAGTTGCCATAAGAGTAAATACAATTTCCTATCAAATAGTGTTTTAACACTGTAAATGTGTGTCAGAGCATGCCTACTGTTTGGAATTATAGTTTTAAAATCATTCTAAAGAAGGACATATATTCCTAGGGGGATTTCTAACAAGTCATCCAAACAAAGTATGGAGGGGAGGTAAAAGCCTGTCGGTGATATACAGCTTAACAGGTAACACTTTCTGCTTTATAAGGTTCTTGAGGATGTCATTAGAAGTACTTGTATTTAAAGAGTAACTATGTGAGATGATGGATATATTAATCTGCTTGATTGTAATAATCATTTCCTTATGTGTACATGTGTCATGGTGTACTCCTAAAACACATACAATAAAAACATAAAACTAAAAAAATGCTAGAAATACTTTGACTTAGTAAACCAGTTTGGAGATTTAGAAAACCATCCCTCAAAGATCATTTCAAGCACTTGTTTTCACCACCACCCTGGCATGTTTCGCCCATTATCTGGGAAAAATTAAGTTTTTGGCACTGGGGAATAATTCAGGGCACCAACTTCTAGGAGAGAAAGAGATAGCTGAGTTGGTGATCAAAAAGAACTAAAGTAGCTCCAAAAAATTAGCTGCTATCATTGTTGCCAAGGCGCCAGAAGTGGAGCTTGTCCTTTCTGTCTTCCACACACCTGCCCCTCAGGCTGAACAAGGTACTATTTTTAACCACTTTGTGAATTATCCATCCCTTCATCCTTATGCTAATAATTCTCTATTTTACCAATATGCTTTTATATAGAGGGGAAAAACTATACAAAATAGTTGGTCTCAAGGTGTCCTCTAGTGACAACACCAAAGATCACAATCAAGGGAAGTTAATTTTTTGAGTACCAGAATTTGCTAAGAGAGTAGCAGTACTACTTGAATATTTTAATTTAACTTGTAATCTTCTGGAAATTGTTAAACTCATTAATATTTATAACTTAGGGTAATTCTGACAAGGAATTTAAAACAATATCACTACATAAATTACAAACCTTCAAAAAAATGTAGGGGAAAGACAACATGAGAATATTAAGGGGAAAAAAGCCAAAAACCAAAAAAAGTGAGCAAGACAGACTGTCTCTTAACCAAACTTCCAAAGGTAAGTTCATTCACTAACATAATTTTTGAAAACTATATTCTCTAGTGAGTTTTCATTTCCAATGAATCTCATAAGCCTACCTCACTAAAAATTATGCTTTTCAGGTAAATTAATGAGCTTAATTTATTTTCTATGATTCTATATTTTGACTTACATGCTTAGTTCATTAGACAATAATTTTCTATCTTTTAACTCTTTTAGATAGCGTGGCTTATATTTTCCAATTATTGTTTTATCATCATCTTCTTGAGAAGTTTCTACTGTGGAGAGCTTAGATTTGGAATGTGAACTACTAAGTTCTGTCATAGTTTCTGTGGTACCAGTATGCTGTAAATCTTCTTGACATGATGTTTGTGTCTAGAACAAATTAAAAGGATATATTTTTTAAATAATTATAATCTTAACAGTTATCATATATTTGTTTTCTTTAGTTTTGAGGCAATGATTCAGATAGCAATTTTAAATGAATGAAAAAATAAGTTTAAAGTATTTATCACTATCAACTAAATTATTAATTCAGAATTAAATCCCAATTATAAAAGAAATTGAATCATTCTTATGTTAGTACTCATGTGATCTGATAATTCAAAGAGAAGGATCAATTTAAAATTTTAAAATTAAACAATGTAGCTTAAGAACAATTCAAGAGTCTTATCTAATTTCTAAATCACAATTTTGTTCTTTGCCTAATAGTCTTCCTTTATGCTAAATGGTACTAATAAACAAATGATTCTCTAGTGATAATCATTAATCTGAAAAACCAATTTAGTTTTAATGAAGATGGAAACTGAAATATTTAAAAGGAGAAAGAGATGCCACCTTTCCTTTGGCAAGCTACAAAACAAAATACATTTTAAGATTTCTCTATAATAAAAACATAACTTTTACCTGATTGTTATGTCTTTTCTATCACCCTTTTTCTCTCTTCCATTGGACCCTAATATTCTATTTTTTTTTTTTTTTTGGAGGGGGTTGTCATACTCTGTCATCTAGGTTAGAGTGCAGTGGCACCATCACAGTTTACTGCAGCCTTGAATTCCTGGGCTCAAGTGATCTTCCTGCTCCAGCCTCAAAAGAGCTGGGACTATAGGTGTGTGCCAGAATGCTGGGCTATGTTTTTAAATTTTTTTTGCAGATACAGGGTCGCCTATGTTGCTCAGGCCAGTCTTGAACTCATTGCCTCAAGTGATCCTCCTGCCTTAGCCTTTAAAAGGGCTAGGATTATGTGAACTCTAATATTCTTTAGTACATGTCTCATCAAGAGATCTAGTTTGCCATCACTTATTGTCTTCTTTCAAACTAAAATCTGATTTTCAATCCAATACTTCCAATAAAAGAACCACAAAACTCTGAGGGCCATGAACACCCTAATTTTTAGTCTTTAATCTGCTTTACATTTTAGCACCAATTGCTAGTGCTGACCCCACCTTCGCTTCTGTTCCTCTGACCCCACTTTCTTTCTAAATGCAGCACCCTCTGATGTTTAGTCCTGTCCCTTGCTATTCCCCTTTTTAAATTCTCTCAAAGCTCCTTAAATCTCAAGGATTGATTCCCAAATGTATGTTTCCAGCCCTGAGCTTTTTTTTTTTTTTTTTTTTTTGAGACAGAGTCTCGCTTTGTTGCCTAGGCTAGAGTGAGTGCCATGGCGTCAGCCTAGCTCACAGCAACCTCAAACTCCTGGGCTCAAGCAATCCTCCTGCCTCAGCCTCCCGAGTAGCTGGGACTACAGGCATGTGCCACCATGCCCGGCTAATTTTTTCTATATATATTAGTTGGCCAATTAATTTCTTTCTATTTTTATGGTAGAGACGGGGTTTCGCTCAGGCTGGTTTTGAACTCCTGACCTTGAGCAATCCGCCCGCCTAGGCCTCCCAGAGTGCTAGGATTACAGGCGTGAGCCACCGTGCCCGGCCCAGCCCTGAGCTCTTTACTGAGGCCTCCTCCTTCTAGTTCACTTCTCATCAACAATATTTTCAACCACACACTCTGCAACCTCTCATTGGTGTGGATTACTTGTGCAGACAGCTGTAGCTACTCTACATTTCATGTTGATTCCTATTGGCAGTGCAGTATTATTTTCTAATCGTGGGGGGTGCCCTCACCCTTAGGATGTTACCTAGGATATTTTGTCTTTTTTTCTTTTATAATGCAAAACTTTTCCACAAGAGTCAGATTATGGATTGTTTGCCTTTGTTTTCTTGTGAACAACTTCCTTTTAAATAGAGTCAGGCCTTTCGGAAGTCTTGCTGTAAAGTCTCTTTCAGATGCATGCTCAACTATATCATTTGGAGGCTTGTGTCAGCTAGAGCTCTCTTGCCTTGCCATTACAGATTTTTCACCTCAATATTGTGTCCATCAAATATCTTAGCCAGGGCAATTTCTGGCTTTGGAATTCATGAGATGAGAACTTTCTGGAGAAGTTAAGGGTTATTGATTCAGTTGGTTGAAAGCTGTTTCTTAAGAAATTTTTGATTCACAGGGTACACTTGAAAGTCGTAAATAATTCTATGCCATATTCCTAACTCATTTCTATGGAAATCTATAGAAAGTCACTTATTACTTTTGACCAAGCTTAATAGATTTTGAGAATTAAAAAAAATTTTTTTGATATCTTAATATATTCCTGTATGATACATGTGTAAGGGGATCTCTCCTGGCATTCTCCTTCACAAGACTTCATAAGATGCTTCTTATTAGTATGTTGTCATGTCACTTGTATGAAAAGTATGCAAATAAAATGGGACTAATTTATATGAAGCCTAGAAAAAAATAATTTTTCAACATTTCCTTGCCCATGAGAAAGACCAGTCAAAAAGAAAAAACCTTAAAATACATGAGAAAACATATAGTTTCATACCAGTTATTATGAAAACACATTTATACAATCTTATCTCCTCCATATCCCACCTACTCCCCACAGAACCCATACTGGATTATTTTGAAGGAAATCATAGACATCATATCATCTGCATTCAGGAAAATGCAAATACATGTTAGAAGGAAAACTAAGTTCATTCAAATTGTATATGTATTTAAATGAATAAATAATTCTTAGATTCAATCACTCAAAAAAAATAAAAAAGAAAAAGAAGAATGTTCTAGTTTCCCTGATAGGTAATCTGTACAATAGAATTGTATAAATCTTCCTACTATGACTTAAAGAAACTAACTAGTCAGTAGTATTTTCTTCATTGCTCCAATTTAGTATTCACAATGCAGTCTTCTGATCTTCAATCCTACAAAGGAAAGCATGACAGGAGAATCCTGTTCTGCTTGGTAAACTGTTATATAGTCTTCCCTATACATCAAAACTGCTATCTTGGAATATACATCAATGTTTTCTGAGATTGGACTTTTAAGTTTTTAAAAGGTTGATGAACAAAAGTTGATGGAAAAATCAGTTTCTTAACTTGCAGTGCTAGGAGCACTATGCTATTCTGTAATGCCCTGTTGGAACAGCTGTTTCTACTTTTTCACTGACATCTCTTTCCTATATTCAAATCCAGTGAGAAAAACACATTATTTTAGAGGAAAAACGCTTGTATAATGTGACCTAGGATCCATTCTTGATGGTGAATACAGATTACAACATTAAAAGCAATTAATTCTCCAAATTTCACTTAAGAGTTTAGATTATAGGAGAAATTCAGATTTCTAGAATCATTACAATGTCTTGTTAGAATTTTAAAAGATATGATAGAATATTTGCAGGGACTCAGGCAGGCATATACCAATGTCCAAAGCAGGAGGATGTCTAATAGCCAAAATGTAGAAATAACCCAAATATCTGTCTATGGAGGAATGGATAAAGAAAATGTGGTATAGATAAATATGTTTTTAGACTATCACAATCTATGTTTTAAAATCTTACTATATAAATCAGTAATTTTAGGAATTCAGTCAATTTTTTCTATAAAGTCAAAAGGACCTGCACTGCTAGTAGCAAGTATTATCAATATGAAAACAATAAATATTTGTATCAAGGAGACTTTTCATATTTCTAAAATATTCTTACATGTAGATAGTCCCCAACTCATGATGGTCTAACTTATAATTTTTCAACTTTACAATGGTGTGAAACCATTGTGTTTTTGACATAATTAAGATGGTTCAATTTAAAATTATTTTACTTTACAATGGTATGAAACCAAACCAATTTTAACATATTTTGAATTGTGAATTTTGATCTTTTCCCAGGCTATCAACTTTAGTCTAAGGGTAAGTGTTCTGAGCATGTTTGAAGTAGTCCAGGCCAAGCTATGATGTTCAGTAGGTTAGGTGTATTATAGGCATTTTCATTTCATGATATCTTCAACTTGCAATGGGTTTATGAGTATATATAACCCCATTTTAAGTCAAGAAGCATCTATATGACAGGTGAAAAATCCCTAATCTGAAAACCTGAAATCCAAAATGCTCCAAAATCTGAAACTTCTTGAGTGTGGACATGACACCACAACTGGAAAATTTCATATATGACCTCATGTAACAGGTGAAAAAACACTCAAAACTTTCACTGCAGTGAAAACACATTCAAAAAATAAAAAAAAAAATTATATATAATTACCTTCAAGCTATGTGCATGAAGTACATACGAAACAAATGAATTTTGTATTTAGATGTGTGTCCCATTTCTAAGATATTTCATTATGTATATACAAATATTCTACAAAAATAAAATTCCTTCTCAGTATGACAGAAAGAGATTGACTTACCGCTCTTGCACTTAACAGGTTTTTCTCATGCTGCTTAAGTTTGTCGACTTGCTGTCTGATTATGACTTTTAACTTTGAATTTTTTATTTTGAGCCTAAAAGGAATATTTTAAAATAATCAATCTCACAGATAATTTTTTTAAATACCATGCAATTTCTGAACAAATATCTGAAGGTATAATTACATAAATTCTTAACAATTTGAAAAGTAGATAATTTGACAACTTTATCATTTTCCTAGCTGAGTTCTGTGGATAATGCGAAAAATTTAGAAATAATCTATAAAAAGTATGCATTTCAAAATAGCTTAAAGTTAAACTTTTTCCTTGGCTTCACATAGATGTATTTATTATCATAACTGATCAAATTATTACGCTACTCTGCTTATTTGCTTTATAATACCCAAGTTATTTTTTTGTACTGCTTTAAATCGTACTTTTTCATGTCATCTTGCATCTTCTCAGCATGTCTTGTAGTCTGTTTTAGTTGATCTTGGGCTTCTTCCAACTAAAACAAAGAATAGAGAAAAAACTTTACATTTGGAAATGGCCCAAATTTCCATCTATGGATGAATGAACAAAATGTTGTATATATAAAAATATAATTTCTAGGCTATCACACTTCTTTATAAAAAAAATAATAATCTAGTACAAATCTCCCTATCACCTGTTTTTTATAGCTTAATTTTATTGGAACACAGCCACACCCATTCATTTTACATATTGTCTATGGCTGCTTTTGTGCTGTAATGGCAGAATTGAGTTGTTGCAACTGTGATCTCATGGCTCACAAAGCCTAAAATATACTATCTGGCCCTTTATAGAAAAGATTACCTAGCTCTCCTCTTCAATAAAAATATAACATTATTCTTGTATTTAAATTATATCTTATCACATAAATACTCAAATCTAAAAAACAACTGGTTAAATGGGAAAGATAGGAAATTATTTATGGAGACCATTCACACTTTTGAATTCTAAGCACCACCACATCAACTATAATTATATTTCATTTTTTGTGTATGCATTTAGTTTTATTTGTATCAAATCAACATGTCCACTTTTAACATATAAAACTGACCATCATATTTATTTTTAAGGAAAAGAAAAAGAAAATATAAAGATAAACAGGAAGAAAAGTACAATAGAAAATTTCAACCCCAAGTAAGATTCTATGGTTCTGCTGATTTTCCTACCAGTGTCAGGGCTCAAGTCATCGCTAGGAAAGAATTTATTTTAAACATGTCATCTTTACCTGTAAGGATGACTGCTAAACATTACAATTAAACCTGATAAAGGAGAGACTCTCTTGTTAAAATTCCCATTTAACCCACCCAACCATGTCAAACCCATGCTTTGCTGACCATATATACACCTATTTTTTCAAGTTTTTCTCCTTTCTTTTTAAACCAAGAGAAAGTAGACAGACACAATGCTAATTGCCCATATTCACATAGAGACATAATGTACTTCCTGAGTTCAATATGAAGGGAAAAGAAGAAAAAAAGCTAGAGTTTTTCTGCACTACTACACATGAGCCCAGCACCCTCCAGCTTCTGGCAGTGCAGGGGGAGCACATTTTTATTTTTTTCCGACAGGGCACATTGGTGATGATTTCATCCAGTTTTTGTTAACACAAGGGATAAAAATGAATTTGGAACAAAAAGGGGTAGAGATCCTTTTCCCATTGTGTTCTGCTCCAGGTATTTTCTCCCAAAATAATCTGAGAACCAAAAACAGGCCTCCAGAACAGGGCAGTTGAGCACACACACAAAAAAGACTGCAACTTGCTCCCAGGACTGGAGAAAAATTTTAAAAAAGGAGGTTGGAATCTACCAGTGTCCTGTTAGCCATCTTCTTCATCCTCCTCTCCTTTCTCCCCCAACCTTCATCATCATCATCATCATCATCATCTTCTTCTTCTTTTTCTCATTCCCCTTCATCATCATCATCTTCTTCTTTTTCTTCTCATTCCCCTTGTTCATCATGTGTATTGGGAACCAAGTACTCCTGAAATGGATCTGGCCAAATATCCCCTTTGCTGACCTCTCCTAAGTCATTGGCATCTGCACCAGAACAGGCAGTAACCAGATACAGCAGCTCTGTTTCCACACGCTGCCTCCTTCTGCTGGCCTTGTTCTGTGTTTGACTTAAATGTTTCCTCAAATCATTTCTGATTTCTGTTTGATTTCTGTGGAGTTTGAAGATGGATCACCATTCTCACTCAGATGAAATTCTTTGGTGATCTTTCTTTTTGATGTAAGGATTTTCATCAAAATAAAAATGTATTCTATAACCTGATATCATATCTTCAAATGCTGTCATGGTTAAATATAATGCAGGGCCTCTTCTACCTCCCCAAGCAGTGCACACACTTGTGGATAGCTGACAAATGCTGTTACCCTCAAATTTGGGATGCTGGCGATCAAGTCTTCTGAAAAAATAGTTGTTGGTGGAGTTTGTTACATTTCTGTCATCCTTTCAAAACCTCCGCCCTGTCTTCTTCAGTCAGCCCCTCCATTTCATCTTGTACCTCATAAATATGAGCAATAGCTTCTTGCTGTTCTTTCTCTGATGTGTCCTCGCCCAGGTGGTTGGCCTTGGTCTCCTTCTGATGGCCTTGGGCTCCTTCTGACAGACTTGGGCATGAGCGCAGTCATGGGGCTGTTGGGCCTTCAGGGAGAGGAGGGGAAGGTGGTGGCTTGTGGGTGGGGTGTGGCTGGGCACCCTCACTTGTGCTCCATGCTCCAACTTGCTACTGGGCTGTACCAAGCCCCCACCTCCTCCACACCAGCAATTATCATTTTATATATTTACAGATGTGAATGACCTGGGGTATGCCAGTGATGATAGAAATTAACATGATGCTTTAGGTGACAACCAGATGTTTCATGCAATAGTTTGAGAGGCAGCATCTACACAGAAGCTATAAGGCCTGGGTCTGAATTCCAGCTTCACAAATTCTTAGTTGTGACTAAGTTGAGACTTAGTTGAGAAATTAACTCTTTGCATCTCAGTTTCTTCATCTATAAAATGGAGAGAATAATAGTATCTACTTCACAGGGATACTGGGAAGACTAAATTGGAAAATATACATAAAAGACTTAGAAGAGTAGGAGGCACATCATGAGTGATACATAATAGTTATTATTAGCATTATTGATTTTGTTTTATTTAATGTTCTAATAAAATTTGATATTTTAGGCAGGCAGCATGCCCATGGAAATGGTTTCCTACAGTCGCTTTGAATCATTCTTCACACCACCAAAAGCGGCAACAAATGGGGAGCATGAGGTCCAGAATACATCCCCAGTACTTCAGAAAACTCTCAGGAGTTCCACCAGCCAACAGTACATCTGTCCACTTATGAGAATGTATATAATAGCTTACTTCTCTCTGTAGTACTCAGTGGACAATGATCAGAGCACCTCCTGGATAGAGTAATTATGGGACTTACATGACCATCAGAGGCAGGCTAAAACCATGGATCTGAAAACATTGGACTCTATTACTAAATCAAGGTTCTTCAATCAATTCATTCCCAGAAATTGTTTATGTTGGGCTATGTTAGCAAGCACTCCGATGAGCACATTGAGGTTATGTGGCATGGAAGATCAGAAAGGCTACAAGCCAGAACTTTTCAGTAGGTAACGTGCTATCAATCTATAAATCCCAGTTCTGGCTACATAATGAAGAAAGGCAAGTTTAGATTTTTTTTTCAAAATGAGAAGAACATGAGCAATTGATTAAACAATTCTCTTCTATTAGATTAAGTAGTTTCAATTTTATGTTTAATTTCTTAAAACATATTTAGAACAAAACTATTATGTTAGTATCTAAAAGAAGAAATTATTGATATGGTATAAAATGTTTAATTTTATCCTAACAACTCTGAAGCTAAAACATTTTCAATTTATACAAAGATAAATGACATGCATATCAGTTATTATCCTCCTTGGGCAAATTTGTAATTAGACAAGATTATCTCTCATAAAAAAATAATGCAAAGTTATGGGCTAACTTATTCTGCACAGATAGACAAGTGCTGAAGTATATGGTCAATGACAGTAAGACCAGTCAGAAAAATCTTCACAAATAAGGGGAAAATGTGTGCCAGGTCTAAATGAATGAGGCCAGATCACCAAAAACTGAAAAGATAGCAAGGACAACATGAATAAGGCAAAGAGAGGGTGAAATCCACCAACTAACTCTGAGGATGATATCCAGTGGCAGGGAAATAACAACATGTCCACACAATAACTAATGAATGAATGTTCAGAGCAGTGTTATTCCTTACAGCCCCAAAGCAGAAAAAACCTAAAGGTCCATCAAGTGATGCATGGGTAACTGGTATAGTTACAATAATGCAATAAAATATTATACAATAATACAAATATTATACAATATTACAAATATTATACAATAATACAAAAAATATTATTTGACAATAAACAGAAATGAAGTACTGATGCATGCTACAACACAGATGAACCCTGAAAAAAGTATGCTATGTGAAAGAAGCCAGTCATAAAGTATTACATATATGTTTATGTACAACAGGTAAATCTATGGAGGCTAAAAGTAGACAGTGGTTGCCTAGGATTGGGAGAGGTGGAAGGACATATTAGGGGTGGAGGTGGTGGCTAGGGACGTAGGATTTCTTTTCAGGCTGATGATAATGTTCTGAAATTTATTGTGGTGATGGTTGCACCCCTCTTTGAATATCCTAAGAGATAGTTAAATGGGTGAACCACATGGTATGTGAATGAGACCTCAATAAATTTGCTTCTAAAAATACAATGGCAGGATCTGGACAATTTTCTTAATTCTCTATTTTGGATGTACTTACTATAAATGACCTGAGTATTTCTATGCTTTTATAATATAATTAAAATGAAGGAAACTATACAACATTGCAAATAGTTTGTAAATTAACCTAAAACATTTGGATTTTGGAGAACAGTATAATAGCCTTTCTGTACAAGTTAACCTGAAATCCATGAAGTAAGTATACACAAATTCTGTATTCAGTCAAAAAAGTGAAGGAACATTCCATTAGCCCCTATCCTCTGATTTAATCTGTCTTGCCTCACCATGGCAATATAGAAATCACTAAAAAATACTTTTTAATGGAAAACAAGTCTCTCAACTTCTGTCAAGAATGATGTATAACTGTCAACTTTCTTGAAGATGAATATTGTAAGAAAATATATATGTAATAAGAAAAATGGCAGAATGAAAGGCAGAGTTTAAGAAATAATTGCAGTATACATAAAATAGTAACATTTAATTATAATGAAAATGCAAAAGAAAGCTATATACTGAAAGTAGTATCCTAAATGACTTTTTATTATTGAACCAGCTCTAGATGAACTCTTAGCCTGTAAAATTTCATACATACTTGACTTGTGATTTGATTTAGTATCTTCTTTGAATCCTGGGCAGCTTCATCTTGACAATGTGACATAATATGTAGAGAAGTTTTGGACCTAGACAGGTTTTGTACAGTATCAGCCAGCTCTTGCTGAAGTTGTCTCACAACTGCCTGATAAGATATTTTTGTTACTGATGTTATAAATCACCTTATTATTAAATTATGTTAATAATATGTAACTCTAACATATATACTTTGAAAACATCACCAGAAACATTGATTCACCTTCTTTCCCTTGTGTACATATCCCTATCTATCACTGAATTCAGTTAAGGACACCACAGAAGATCTTATCTTCCTGCCAAATTGGTATTCTGTTACTCAGATTCAGTTCACTATTCATTCCTCCCCTGGTGAATGCAAAATGCTTAACAACCTCCTGAAGTTTCCAAAAGAAATAGGTTATGTGGGTGGGACTGGTAGTAGGAAGTTCTACATTGTGAAAGGTTTTCCTTCTTCAAATCAACCTCAGAATTTCTCATATTTTCAATCCCCTGCTCAAATCCTTCCAACAAATTCCTCTCTCAGAATAAAGGTAAAATTCTAATGGCCTTTGAGAACCTAAGTAACCTGGCCTCCACCTCCCTCCCTGACCTCAGCTCCTACAACTCTCTACCTACTCACTCCATTCCCACTATATGTAAACCTTGCTGCTTCTCACCACTCTGAAAATGGGGCTCCAATTCCAAACTAATAAATCACACATAGCTGCAACTACAATTATTCTTGTAATGGACAAATTTATATCCAAATGAGAGTCATTGAGCCTTGAAATGAAAATTATGAGCAAATTATTTATAAAAATATTCAAAGTAAATTATAAATATCAGTAGGATGAGTAAATCAAATATGGATTTTGCTAAAATTTACCACATTTGTCTCAAATTATAATTTAAAAAAAGTAGATGCCTTTAAATAATTAAGTGGTCATAACAAAACATAATTTGAGATAAAACTATTTTCAGATTTAAGAGAAATTGACATGAATGAAGGTAAATTTATATTAACTAAAATATATAAAAAGCTACTGAAAGAGAAGTATTATGAGATATAGAAATACAGTTTAGTTCATTTGGGAAATCTGAAACTATCAAAGTCACTCATTTAACTGAATCTTAATTTCAAAATGCTCATTTCAGGTATGACCATTTCTGTTTATTGCTTCATCATGGTATTAAAATGAGGCAGTATAAAGACATTAAAATTATTATTTCAGGTTATAAGAATATATTTTTAACATTAGTCTATATTCAATAGTTTGTAACTTAAACTCTTTTTTTTTAAATTTTAGGATATTATGGAGGTACAAACATTTTGGTTACATGTTATGACTTTAAAATTTCATAAGTCACCAATGTCTTTACTCAAAAGCAAAAACATCTCTCAACTCTTAACTTACCTAACAAGATATGTTCCTAAGCTGATATAATAAATACATTTATAATCTATATATTTTTATTTTCAACTAGATTCAACATTTAGCCATAACCAAATATTACCTTAAATTTTCATTCAGGATGTTTGAAAAATATTTATCTCTCTTGATACTTACTTCAGTTTCTGCTTTCTCTTTCAAACATTCATACTGTCTTTCTTTTAAATTATTACATTCTTTAATTAACTCTTTATTTTTCTCTGCTAACAGAAGACTTTGCTTTTTACTCTCATCTTGACATTTTATTACAATATTGTGAAATTGGTCTTGGATATCAGTCATTGTCTTTTCTCTAATATCAGCTTGGTCATGAGCAGTCTTCAGTTGTTGCCGAAGTAACATATTTTCATTTTGTAATTGGGATAATTTCTCCTTTATACATTTCTGCTTTGCAATGTATTTATTCATTTCAGTTCGTTTGTTTTCATACATTTGTTCGATTTCCTTCTTTTGACACTGGCTTTGGCTTAGATCTCTTTGCACAGTTTGTAAAACCAAAGTCTTTTCTTTGAGTGCCTGTCTTGTGTGGTCAAGCTCAACTTCAAGGCTATCAGATTTACTGTCAGCTTTAGAAAGTTGTTGACAAAGATAAGTAACTTGAAGATTCAGATTTTTCTGTAAGCAACACCAGTCACCTGCTGCACTGTGGAAATTAAGCTCTAGATCTTTTTTTATTGTCACGTTTTCATCACGATCACGAATAGTAGTAGTCAGTCTAGAGCGGTAAGATTCAACTTCTGTACTCAGTCTTTCTTTATTTTGTTTTTCTTTCTCCAGTCTAGAACCCAGTAGTTGGTTCTCAGCTCTCAGAATACAGAGGTCTCCACTATACTGGGTTAATAGTTTCTCCTTCTGTTTTAAGGCATTTTGAATGTCATCATTCCTTTCTTGTAAAAGTTCAAGATCCTCAAGATATTTCTTTTCTTTTTTCTGGTTCTCCTTTTTTATTAGGTCAATTTCTAGTCTTAGCCTGGCTGTTTCATCTTGCCACATGGGATTTTCATGCAACATGTCTTTTTCTTTCTCATGACTACAAGAAATCTAAGTAAAACAAAGGAAACTTTTAGCTAGCACTCGATAAAATGATATATCATGTTTTTCTCTAAAATCAAAGACTAGCCTGAATATTTATAGAACGAGAGGGCTGCAATCAGTGGATATCCAATTACGCAAAAAGTTGGATCAAAAACCTCAAATCTTATAGAGCTGTGGTCCCCAATCCCGAAGCCGGGGACTGGTACAAGTCCGCGGCCTCTTAGGGACCAGCTGTAGAGCTCCACTTTTCTCCTCCCCCTCATCTGTGAAAAAATTGTCTTCCATAAAACTTAGGAACAGGATGGGAGGGTGCACAGTAGGCGGTGAGCAGCGGGCAAGCTTCATCTGTCATTATAGCTGCTTCCCTCCCCTGCATCACATGCATCAACCTCGCCCCTGTCCATAGACTAATTGTCTTCCATAAAACCGTTCTTTGGTGCCAAAGAGGTTGGAAACCACTGTTATAGAGCATAATAACTTCCCAAAAGTTCAAACATTTATTTGAAGACAATGAATTCTTGAAAGCAAAAAAGAAACCACTAGAGAATTTTTAAGAATTTCAAATTTGGAAAAGACTTTCTTTGAATTATAACAATTTCAAAGGCATAAAAGATTAATACCTTTGATTACATTAAAAATTGAGTGCATACTCTGATATCTAACCTATATTATCCACCCTATGGTGGATAAAAACCTTAGCTCTGCATATATTTAGAAAGATAAATTTCCCCAAAGTTCTTTTAAGTTCCTTTTTCCTGAAAAAGTTGTACAGATATTCTACTTTCCTAACATTTTTATAGTCAGTTATAAGAATTACATTTATTCTTATAAATGATAAATCTAGGCATTGTATTAAGCACTTTTACATACATCAATGAGCTCATTTAGTTATCACAATTCTGAAAAGGAGAGGTTAAAAATATAAGCAAGCTGCAGGATTTTCCCCAGCTCTTCTCACTTTACTTTTACTAGGGCTTCTCCCCCAATCACAATTACTTCTTTGGTAGAAATATATAAACACAAAAGAAGCCATATCTTTCAAAACACTAAGGGTAAATAAGAAAAAAAAATGATAGACTTCTCAGAAAATCATGACATTATTTGTTATCGCAATAACTTTTGTTTCTTCTTCATAATGTTTGAAATGGTAATAAGTGTGAAATAGGGGAAAATACATTGAACTATTTTATTATGAATAAAATATTTATCAATAAATTATCATTAAGTATATGTTATAGCATATCATTTTCAAAAAGGCAAAAGCAGTTCTAAAATATAAGTAGATACAATATTGTGAAATAAAATTTCTTTACAAAACATTGAACTCGTTTAGTTTCAGATCAACTTAGTCTGTATTTTAAAGTGAAATGCCTAAATTAACATTTATATTACGGATTATACTCAACTTACCCTCATTTCTTCATTCAGAAAACATACTGAGTATCCATTAGATGCCAAGATTTATAATAAATAATTTTAGCTATAAATGTCATAGTTCATTTTTAAGATGAGATAATGTATTGGGTTTGTTTTAAACCTTAATGATATAGCATATTAAATCAAAGGAATATTATAAGTAAGACTGATTGAAATAAAGGTAGAAATATGAAATTTTTACCAAAGATCAATTTACCTGATTTGAATAATTTCTTATAGTTTTCAATTCCGTATCATGTGGAGTCTGTCTAAGTTGATGCTTCATTTCTGTTTCTTTTGTATATTGCTCTTTTTCCATTAACTTCTCTCTCATTTTTTCATATAATATTTCAGCATTTCTTCTTTTTTCTTCTTCTTGTTTTAAGGTAAATCTGCAGTTAAATATACTTATCTTAAAATTCATTTTGCTAGAAAATAGAAAGTTTATATCTTGGTTTATTATCCTAATACAATTTCTATGTTCCTGAATATTTTTTCCTTTCCAGTTCTCAGGTTTTTTTATTTTTTATTTTTTATTTATTTTTATTTTTTAATTTTTTTTTATTTTGGCATATTATGGGGGTACATATTTTAAGGTTTCAATAAATGCCCATTTCCCCCCCTCCCCCCAAAAGTCTGAGTCTCCATCATGACCATCCCCCAGATGGTGCACATCTCACTCATTATGTATGTATATACCCGCCCCCCTCCCCCTAGTTCTCAGGTTTTCAATTTTTCACTTCAGTCTTTTCCAAAGCACACAAATATTTGAAATTGGTAGAGATAAAACAACATTCTGATAAAGGGTAAGTTTCTGTTACTAGTCACTCTGATAAATATTGTGAATATTATGGAAAAGTATATTAGAAATTATTCACCAAAGTTACAAACGGAAAATTACCACTTTTACATAGCCATAATTACTCCTCAATTAGGATAGACCATTTAGAATTAACCAATTACAAAGACATTTCTGTCAATAAACAAATTGATAAATTCACTAGAAATAAATTTTCATCTTCATGAAACAGTACAGGTATCTTTAAAAATGACTTGCAGTGTAAGGGAGCACTTTGCAATGTCTTTCACTAACATATATCTACAGATTTCTGTAATCCAATACTAGGCTAAGAAATCTTATAACCGTTATCCTATACTTTTTATGCTTATTTCTTGGGTAGCAGATTAAAAATATCTTGTTGATTATTATGTATTTTATAAACAATTTAAAAATTCCTTTTGGAATAAGACAAGAGCTAATATTTAATTACACAGTAAAGAATAACATCAGTTTTCAACATAGAACTTTGAAATATTTTTTTCTATGTAGGAGAGAGATATTGAATAACCTAATCAGTAATCATTTCCCATTTTTATCTTTATTCCCTGCATATTAAGAACAAAACAGTATAAATTTTTAAAATTTTTTTCTGGGTTAAAAAATGGCCATTTCATACTTTGCTGTTTGAATCATAAATTGATATAAACTTTCTAGAGCACAATGTAGAAATACTGATCACAGACCTTTTTAAAAACATTCCTATAATTTAACCAAATAATTTTATGTTGAAGAATTTATTCAAAGTAAATAATGAGAAATGTAGAAAAAGATTTATATAAAAGATATTCCATGTAGCATTAATTATAATACAAAATAATTTAAAAAACAAAAATTCAATTTGTTAAATAATGAGATTTCTGTATGGTAGACTTCTATATAGCCATTACAATTATAATTAAAGAATATACATTAAAAGAATTAAAAGAATTAATTATATCTTTTAATTATATCTTTTAATCATAATTAAAAGAATATACATTTAATTATCAATAGACATATTCACAGTTCATAACTTGTTATGTCATTTCCTGGAATTTCACACTCCACAAGAATGAGAAGTTCTCTTCCTTGTTAAGCCCCAAAAGATAAGTCAGCAATTAAAAAATTCTCCTATATATTTGCAGTATAAATAAATAGTTCAAATATTTCTTTAAAACTAGGATGTCTTACCTTAAACTGTAGAGTTCTCCTTCCCATTTAACATTTTGATGTTCTAATTGTGATTTTATTTCTTTTGTTTCAGATAGCTTCTTTTTTAGGACACTAACCATATTTTCCAATGTTTTCTTTTTTACTGTAAGTTGTTGACAGTGATTTTTTTGAAGTTCTATTAATCTTAAGCATGAAAAAACTTCATTCTGGATTCCAGATAAGCTAACAGAATCTGTATTAGGGAGAAAAAACATATAAATAAAATATATGAGTATTTTTGAATATAAACAACTGCATGTTTTAACATTCACTCATTTATACACTAAACAAATACATATTAAATGCAGACAATGTGGAATACATCTTAATGAGCTCTGCAAATAAAACAGACAAGACCTATGCTCTTGTTTAGCTTTTAGTGTAGTGACAAAGACAGAAAAGTGACAATTATAAATTAAGCTACATGATGTAAGAAAATAGCATTCTATGATGACATAAAAGAATTTGATGTTTACTGGGCCCAGGGAAGATTTCCCCGAGGAAGAAATGGCTACACTGAGAAATGAAGGAGGGTAGGGAAGCCAGTAAGAAAAGCGGGAAGAAAAGCATTCTAGCCAGTCTACAGCATGTGCTCAAGCTCTATTGCAATCTGCTTCTAGCCAAGACTGATTTCCTTCTTACCTGAAACAACCAAAACCTAAACAGACAAAATACACTAAACAATCATGTTCAAGACTGTGCACTTAGGAAAATAAAGATAATGCTTCCTGAAAAACTAAAAACAAATTATGGAAGCCTTACAAATGTCCCAGCTCCATGTCTTGAAAGAGTTTCCAGGCCATGATATAAGAAGGAAAAATTGAGATTGAATCTGCCAGACTTCCTGTGTTGCCATGATGAAGCTAACAGTCAGGTTAAGCCAAATGAGAGAGATCACTAAACAGAAAACTGAAGAGGAGAGAGCAGTACAGGAAAAGAATCCTGGAGATCTATAGCGATTGCCTCTTGAGTATATAGAAGAGTAACGAACAGTGCATGCATGCTAGGAAACCACCAAGGAACAAAGGAAACATATCTAAAAAAAAAAAAAAAAGAAAAGAAAATGGAGGAAACCATGCTTGGTGCTCACACAATGCCAAGAAGAGCGTTCATTCTCATGGGCCAGGCTATAAAAAATAATAATTCAGCAGACAATGAATAATCAAAAAGCTCTTGCCTCAGTAGTAGAGAATTAGCCCAAGTCAGAAAAGCAAGACCAGAAAAGATCAAGCTGTTTATAAGTAACTCAACTGTATCCCCAAATAAAGCTCAAGGAGGTAAGTATAGATATGGAAGACATTGTATAAAAAATAATTGCACTTGTAAAGATGCATATCAGAAATCAATTGCATTTCTCTCTATATTTATATATCTATATATCTCTATATACCAGCAATAAAAATTTCAATTGAAATTTTAAAAGCATCATTTACAACTTCATCCATCATTTACAACTTCAAATGACATACAAATAATTCTGATAAAATATGGAAAGACCTATACACTATAAACTATAAAATATTACTGAAAAAATTATATATATTAATAACCTAAATAAATGGAGAGAGACACTTTGTTCAGGAGTGGAAAGATTTGTTATTGTTAAGATGTCAATTCTCCTCAAATTAATCTATAGATTCAACACAATCCTACTCCAATTTCTAGCAGATCAGCAGTGTTTTTAATTTTTCTTTTTAAATTGACAGGCTGATTCTAAAATTTATGTGGAAATACAAAGAATCTTAAACATACACTATAATCCTGAAAAAAGAACAAAACTGGAGGGCTGATTTCAAGAATTACTATAAATCTATAGTAATTAAAACAGCATGATATTGGTACAGGTTGGCTATCCCTTTTGTACAGGTTGACTATCCCTTTTCTAAAATGCTTGGGACCAGAAGTACTTCAGACTTAATTTTTTTTTTACACTTTGGAATATTTGCATCTACATGAGTATCTTGGGAATGAGACCTAAGTCTAAACTCAAAATACACTTATGTTTTATATACATCTTACATACATATCCTGAAGGCAATTTTATACACTACTTTTAATAATTTTGTACATGAAACAAAGCTGTCTATATGAGGTTGTGTGTGGAATTTTCCCCTTGTGGCATCATGTTGGCACTCAAAAAGTTTTAGATTGTGTAGCATTTCAGACTTTGGGTTTTTCAGTTAGGGATGCTCAACCTGTATAATGAATGCCAAATACAGATGACTCACAAACTTAAGATGGTTTGACTTATAATTTTCCAAATTTATGATGAGTTTATTGGGGTTTAAGTACATTTTTTTATATAAATGATGGGTCTATTAGAACACAAAGCCATTTTAATTCAAAGAGCATATGCAAATCAATAGAACCCAATAAAGTCCAGAAATAGATCCACACATATACAGCCAACTCATTTTTGACAGAAGCACAGTGAAAACACAGTGAAGAGAGGATAGCCTTTCAAATATGTGGTGCTGGAACAATAGGATATCCCTACCCACAAAAAGAAATTGAATATATACTTCACTTTGTGTACAAAAAAGGAACTAAAAATGGACCAGAGATCTAAATGAAAGACCTAAAACTAAAACAAACAAAAACTTCTAGAAGAATGCATAGGATAAATTCTTTGAGACCTTGTCCTAAGCAAAGATTTCTTAGATATGACACAAAAACTCAAATCCATAATTGATCAAAAAGATAAACTGGACTTCATGAAAATTAGAAGCTTCTGTTCCTCAAAAGATATTCTTAAGAGAATGAAAAGTCAAGCCACAATCTGGGAAAAAAAATCCTTGTGAAAAGCACAGCTAATAAAGAAACAGTATCCAGAATATATAAAGAACTATTAAAAGTCAACAAATAAGAAAACAAACAATATAATTGTTTAAATGCAAAAGATTTTAAAAGACAGTTCACCAAAGAAGATATACAGATGGTAAATAAGCACATGGGAAGATGATCAACATTATTAGTAATTACGGTAACTCACATTAAAATCACAATTATATGCACAACACATCCGAGACCATCAATATTGTGTTTATGATGATATAGAGCAACTGAATTGGCATATACTGCTGATAAGAATGGAAAATGGTACAAATACTTTGGAAAACAATACATAAATTTCTTACTAAGGGAATATAAAGGGGCATAAGGAGACTGGTGTGGGTGATAGGTGTGTTAACTCTCTTGATTATGGTGGTGGTTTCACATGTGTACAACTTATCAAATTGTACACTTTATATATATATATGATAAGTCAAAACTTATCAAATTGTACACTTTATATATATATATATATATATATATATATATATATATGCAGTTTACCATATATCAATTATACCTCACCAAAGCTACTGATTGCAGGAAAAAACACCTAGGACAGTGGCTGGGACACAGAAAGAAAGAAGGGGATGAAATGATCCCCAGTAAAGCTAAAAAGGACTGAGGTCTTCAACCTTACAGCAATGAGAAGTCATAGATGGTTTTTAAGCAAAGGAGGATAACATGATCAGATCTAATTTTTCAAACTATGTCATTGTGGATATACAGTAGACTGTGGTTTTGGGAGGAGGAGTAGCAGGGAAAGTAGTGCTAAGGTTATTGTAGTATTTAACATTCAAGGTGGGAGACAATGGTAACCTGACCTTGGTTAAAGGCATAGGAGAGAAGCAGAGTCAATAAAGACACTGTGGGTGCCATTCACACTGAGAAAATTACAATGGAATTCTCCTAGCTCTTTGGCTGAGAGTGTAAAATATACAATAGTTCTCATTTAAACATAAAGTGTATTTCTGAGATGAACATCACTAACACATCAGTGTTCTACAGTGCAGTGCTAAGCAGTGCACACATACATGACTACAAGATACATAAAAAGGCCTTATACTTATGCAATGGTCATACCTTTACAACATATTTCATGTTGTTTAATGAGAGACATAACAGTCTTATAGTGAAAGGAAGGCAACTCACAATCCCCTGAGGCCATTTCAGGTGACCAAGACAAGTCATCAAGGTCCTTCATAGAATGCATTAGGTTTTTCACCTACAAAATAAATAACATTGTTTCAAAATCCCCACAATATTTATAGCATGGATTAAATGTACAGAAATGATCATTATCCATTTTTCATGTGAGCACAAACACAGGTACTTCTTGAAAGAATGGATTTTTGTTAAAAGGGTATCTTCATCAATTGCTACTGTTTCTTAATTAGTTTTTCAAAGCAAATGTCTTAACAAAAATACTCTAGTTTTTTCACACAAACACAAGTACTTCTTAAAGGAATGTATTTTTGTTAAAAGTGTACCTTCATCAATGGCTACTGTTTCTTAATTAGTTTTTCAAAGCAAATGTCTTAACTTTACCTTTCACTACTTTTTTTTTTTTTTTTTTTTTGAGACAGAGTCTCACTTGTTTGCCCAGGCTAGAGTGCCGTGGCGTCAGCCTAGCTCACAGCAACCTCAAACTCCTGGGTTCAAGCGATCCTCCTGCCTCAGCCTCCCGAGTAGCTGGGACTACAGGCATGCGCCACCATGCCTGGCTAATTTTTTCTATATATATTAGTTGGCCAATTAATTTCTTTGTATTTATAGTAGAGACGAGGTCTCGCTCTTGCTCAGGCTGGTTTCGAACTCCTGACCTTGAGCAATCCGCCCGTCTCGGCCTCCCAGAGAGCTAGGATTACAGGCGTGAGCCACCGCGCCCAGCCTCATTACATATTTTTTAACAAGAATATTGTTGATAATTTATTTTTTACAATACCTTGTTCTTTTTCTTGGATATTTTCTTTGCAGGCCTAAAAACATAAATAATTTCTTTCAGGCAAATAGTAAATATGTAGAATACAAAGAATATCTAAAACTATTGTTTATTATATAAAAAACTCTACATTTGCCATTTATTTTTCCTATTCATAAAGTTTACCATTTTATTTAACAGGTAATGTAAAATACAATAATTTTCCACAAGGCAGAATATAAACATAAAGAATAGCATTAAAGGGCAAAGAAAACACAACTAATAATATCATAACAAATAATTAAATTTAGATCAAGCTTTCTGACAGTGAAAGCAGAAGGAAAAACATGTTACTTGCATTATTTGATAAAAGGAAATATACCAGGTTTAATGTTATTGTCCTATTCAATAAAGACCAGTTTTCATTGGCACTAAAACTTATTTGGAATATATTATTCACATCCATATAGGAGGAAAATATTTTTTTTGTTTGTTTGATTTTTTTAATTTTCATAGTTAATGTGTATTTTCTTTTTTTTTTGTTTCGGAATATTATGGGGGTACAGATTTTAAGGTTTCAATAAATACCCTTTCCCCCCCACCCCCCACAAGTCTGAGTTTCCAGCATGACCATCCCTCCGATGGTGCACATGTCACTCGTTATGTATGTATATACCCGCCCCCCTCTCCCCTCCCCCAGCAATCTCATTGCTGGGCAGCTACCCAAAAGATCCAATGACACTCTACAAAAAAGACACCTGCACTCGAATGTTTATAGCAGCACAATTCATAATTGCAAGGCTGTGGAAACAGCCCAAGTGCCCATCAATCCAAGAATGGATTAATAAAATGTGGTATATGTATACCATGGAGTACTATTCAGCTCTAAGGAGGGAAATATTTTTTAATGATGTTATTTGTTAGCATTTTAAGAACTTAATATGAAGTTACTATGCATTATTTGAAGCACTGTACATGTGTTAAACTAAGTTTAATCCTTAACAATTCTGCGAGGTAGGTAACATATTAGGTGTTTTATAAAACAGGAAAGTAGGCACAGAAAGGCCAAGTAACTTACTCAAGCACATACAGCTGGTCAGTAGCAGACACAGCATTCAAACCCAAGAATTCTGGCTCCAAAATGTGAAATACGCTCTGAAAGGCATACTTATTTTCAACTGTTTTTAAGTGCTATGATAACAGATGAATCCATATAATTATTCCATTTTTGGCTATAATTATAAATAAAAATTTCCGAATCTTGCAATTTTTTTTAAACAAAAAGACTTTATATTCAGGTAATTTGAGAAACCTTTCGATAACTCAAAATTTATTTTTTCTAAAGAAATTCATCATCAGGCATTTATTTATCTATTCAACTGTTTATTCATGCATTCAATAAATACCTACTGAGCACATAATATATGTCCATGACACTGCTGGTACAAGGAAACATGGTTTTTATACATTATAGCATTATAATCCAAAAGTAATGATTTTGGATAGATTGTCAATAGTTTGTTTTTCTATTGAACATAATCAAAATGATCCCCTTCTCCCAAGAATCTAAACTATGAAATTCATACCTCTAATATTTTAGAGAACCTTACAAACTTATAGCTGCTCATGATGCTACTGTCAAAAAGTATTATAATATATACAGTTATTAAGAAATGTTTAAATTCTATTTTAAATTCATTATGGCCTAATTTTTGTATGTTTATTAATACATTATTTTCAAAAACCTATGTATGATACTTTAATGTTCAGGTCGATATTTGCATGTTCGATGGCTTTAAAATATTCCATTTCTGAATCAATTCTAAAGGAACAACCTCTTGCCAGAAAGTTTAACATAAACCGAAGTTCTAAGGATAATTAGCATACTATACCATCTTTAAAAGATAACAGAGCAAGCTTTCTAATGCTTAGACATGCAAACAAAAGTAAATTTCATATACATGTTCTTCTCTACTGGATCATTCCCAATAGCATACAAAATACTCTAAAAACTTCCATTGTAAAATAAAAAAATTAAAGAAAATTCCCTTGAATCCCACATTCTTCTTCACTCATCACTTATTTTTCTATTGCGCTTCCAATCAAAAATTTGTTCAAGAGTTGTCCTTTTATACATCACAGGCAGGGTACCATGGTTTTCCCTATTTATTGAAATTGTTCTCTGTCAAAGTCACTAGTCTTCATCCTAATCAATCTTTTAGCAGCATTGATATAGCTGAGAATTTTATAGCTTTGGTAGGGTACACTATTCTATTTCCAGGAAAAGTAATCACTGCTAACATTACTTCACAGTGAAACAAAGAACTTGAAGATTTTCCCCTCCTTTATCTTCATTTATTTCACTTAAACTGCTATCATCATTCACTTGTAGTAGACCACCAGTTAGTAAATTGGCCTTCTCAAACATTGGTGTCATCACAGGTTCTTTTGAGATCCATTTTACATTTTTCTTTATTTCCTTCATATGCAAACTCAAGACTGCTGCTTTAAGAATTCATTAAAAAGCCAATGTTTTCTAATAATTCCACTGACAAAGAGTCAGAACATAATTTTTGTAAAACTCCAACTCTCTCCTATCTTAATTTATTTATTAATTCAAAAAAGTTAGGAAGTACCAACAACATAAAAAGAAATGTATATTCCCTCCTTCCATAAACAGGTAAATAGACACTTATGATCAAATGTGATATGTAAGAGGTAATCTATGAAAAGTTATATATGAGCACCAGGAAGCCTTTATAGAAGAGTAAAAATATAAGAGGGGCACACCAAACCAAAAAGGTGGGAGAAAATCATTCTGTTTAGAGAACAGAATGTAAACACCAAGAGGCACATGGGGTCTAGGTGGTTCCTAGGACCTTGAAAGGAAAAATGTAAAATACATGGCAGCGAATCATGGGAGATGAATGCTATACTAAACTTGAATTCTATACTGAAGACTGGAGCTCACTGCCTATAAGCAATGATTCTTAGGGATGGAAGTAATAATCTAATTTGTGGTTTCTTTTTGGTTTTGTCTTCAAATATGATAATGTTTAATGTAAATGAAGTTTTAAACATACAAGAAAGCACTTATAACATGAATGTAGCAGGAAATTGGGAAAACATCTTGGGGAAAAAAGCCTTACTTAAAAAATACCTATGTGTCATTAAATATAGTTCAAAATAGCAATGCTCTAATTAGCTGTGATGTTGCTGGAAAATAAAATAATCTGGTAACTTTTGTATACTTTTAGCCTAGTCTCTAATCCTAAAATAAAAAGCTGGGCTTACCAGCAAAAAATTCATAATTACTTTTTTTTTTGAGACAGAGTCTCACTTTGTCTCCCAGGCAAGAGTGAGTGCCGTGGCGTCAGCCTAGCTCACGGCAACCTCAAACTCCTGAGCTCAAGTGATCCTGCTGCCTCAGCCTCCCGAGTAGCTGGGACTACAGGCATGAGCCACCATGCTCAGCTAATTTTTTCTTTATATATTAGTTGGCCAATTAATTTCTTTCTATTTATAGTAGAGACAGGGTCTCGCTCTTGCTCAGGCTGGTTTCAAACTCCTGACCTTGAGCAATCCACCCGCCTCAGCCTCCCAGAGAGCTAGGATTACAGGCGTGAGCCACCGCGCCCGGCTCATAATTACTTTTTAAAATTTAAAAATATTAAGGGGGTACAAATGGTTTTTTATATGGATACCTTGTATTGTTTAAGTTGGGGCTCTTCATGTGCCCATCAACAGAATAGTGTTCACTACACCCAATACGTTTTTACTTCTCACTCCATCCCATCCTCCCCCTTATCAGATTCCAATGAGCTTTATGTGTTTTTGTGCCTACATGTGCCCACTGTTTAGCTACCATTATTAGAGAGTACACATGGTGTTTGTTTTTCATTCCTGAGATACTTTTTTTAGAATAATGGTCTCTAGTTCCAACCAAGTTGCTGCAAAAGACATTATTTCATTCATTTTTATGACCAAGTAGTATTCCATGGTGTGTGTGTGTGTGTGTGTGTGTGTGTGTGTGTGTGTGTATCTATCACATTTTCTTAATCTACTCATGAATTGATGGGCATATTGGTTGATTACACATCTTTGCAATCGTGAATTGTCCTGAAATAAAAATTTGACTGCAGGTATCTTTTTGATAAAATGACCTCTTTTGCCCTGGGTAGATATCCAGCAGTAGGATTGTTGGATCGAATGGTAAGCTTATATGAAGAATCTCCATACTGTTTTCCATAGAAGTTGTACTAATTTTCAGTCTCACCAAAAGTGTTTAAGTATTCTTTTCTCTATGTATGCACTGTTTAAAGTAGTTAACACATGCAGAAGAATATATTATTATATAGTGACATAAATTTACAAAGAAATAACATTTCCCACTGAAGACCATTATGTTAAGAGTTAAGCATGAGCCCCTAAAAAGTACCATAAAACAAAACTAACAACTATTTATAAAAAAAATTAGTAGATAATTCTTCTAGTTAAGACTAAGTATCTTAAACAAGGGAGATCTTTCTGAGAGCAAATATTAAACAATTCCTCTTAGTTCTTTGAGAAATCTTCATACTATTTTCTGTAGAGGTTGTACTAATTTGCAGTCCCACCAGCAGTGTCTAAGCATTCCTTTCTCTCTGTATCCACACCAGCAACTACTGTTTTGGGACTTTTTAATAAAAGCCATTCTAACTGGGGTAAGGTGATATCTCATTGTGGTTTTAACCTACCATTTGATCCAGAAATCCCACTACTGAGTCTTTACCCAAAGGAAAAGAAATCATTTTATCAAACCAAACCTGCATGCAAATGTTTAGTGCAACACAATTCACAATTGCAAAGATGTCGAATCAATCCAAGTGCCCATCAATACATAAGTGGATTGACAAAATGTGGTATATGTATACTATAGAATACTAGACAGCCACAAAGAAGGGATGAATTAAGTCCTTTTTGCAACAATTTAGATGGAAACCATTCTCCTAAGTGAAGTATCTAAAGAATGGAGAAAGAAGCAACACATGTACTCACTATTAAACTGGAACTAACCAAGGAGCACACTTGTGCACAGAGGGAAGTAAAACACAGTGGAAGTCAAGCAGAGGGTAGAAGTGATAGGGGATGGGTGAAAACCTACCTAACAAGTATCATAAACACTGGGTGATGGCCACACTTATAACCCTAGCCCAAGCATAACAAAATCGATACATGTAACAAAAACATTTGTACCTCCAATATTTTGAAATTCAAAAAAAATTCATCTTTACCCAAACTTCATAAATAAATCTACAATTCTAGAACATGAAATATTTTTAATTTTGAATATAGTTGACAGAAGGCAATTTTAAAGAATAAAACAGGTGGTTAAAGTTGCCTCAAACTTTGGAAAGGACTGACCTGTCAAGCCATGGCAACAAGTACTCACCCAGAACCAGTTTTAAATCTAGTCAATCAATCAATGACCACTGGCCTCACTCACCACCCAATCAGACAACGTCACTCCAATTAACAAGCCTAGGAATGTGAGCCAATCAACAAGTCTCATTCAAATAATCATGATGCTACAGATGAAGACAATCTATGCATGCCTCTGAAAGTCAGCCAATACTCAAACTCCACTCTTCCCAAAACCCTATGTAAAAATCAGGATTTGCTCTCTCAGAAGAGTCTGTGCCTGACCAGCATAGCTCTCTTACTAGAGAAATCAATAAGTTCCAACTTTGTCTTTTCATTTCAGACATTGAAGGCTCATAATCCTTTAGACATAAATTAAGTCCATTCAATTTACCAGCCTTATAATTTTACTTTTCTAATAAAATAAAAATAAATTTACTATTCCTTTGATCCATCTTATCATAATTAAACTATCATAATTACCAGTAAAAGAATAAACAGTGAATAACCATAATACTGGGCTTTTCTCCCTAAATGGAACATAAATATAAAGAATATAAATTACTAGAAAGAGCCAATTTTTCTGATATGACAATGTTAAAATAAACATCCTTAACATACATATACATCTTAACAAATGTTATATATACATTGGCCTATTATGTATATATCACAGGTAATAAATGTTCTTAACATGTGCGTGTTTACATGAGTCATGTTCTCCTATAAAATCTAATCACAGAACTGAAGCTGTTATGTTAAGCAAAGGACATATTTGAAATTTTGATGCCCATTACTAAATTACTCATCAAAAATAATTTACCAATAGTGTACAAGAGTACCTTTTTCTTCCCATTTCCAAACACTGGTTATAATTTTATTAATAAGCTATGAGTATGATTAGAAAAAAATGATATCTCATTGTTTATTACTTTGCATTTTTCTGATTACCAGGCAAGGTTGAATATCCCTAGCAAAAGCAGGAAATTTGTTCATTATGAAGATTAGCCAAAATTAGAATTAGTTTTAGAGTACAATAACATTGTACTATTGTTAGGTATTGTACAGGCTTACCTATCCAACTCTTCATTCTCCTTCTTAGCAAATTGCTGATTATCAGTTTTTCCAACCTTTCTTTGTTGGATTAATCTATCATCATCACTGTCATCATCACTATTATAGAGGTTTTTTGATACTTCTATCTCATTACTCTTGTGATTCTTCCTTTCTTTGCCAACCTTTAATGAAAGTTTGACATGAAGGATAATTATTAATACCTTATTCATAGAAAGACCTTTTTTATTTTCATTGATTTTATCAATTAATTTAGCTTAATTGTCATAATAATAGTCAGAAAATGTTTTATCCTTACTTTAGTTTTATCATTAAATATAATTATCATATAATCATGAGATACAATCATTATAATTTTATCCTTAAAATTTTGGTAAAGTCTGCTTCATTTCTGTTTGAATGAATGAAACAGAATTTCCCCAAATTTCAAAAAGCGCCCTTCTCAATTTTGTGCTTTTATGTCCATTAACTCTTCACTATATAATATGAATTTCCACCCCATTTGACTGGAAGAAACTGAGAAATAAAATGACAAAGACACAGAATGTGTTGTCTTTCTTTCTTGCCTAGATTTTACATTAAATAGCCAGATTGAAAGGATGCAACACTGTGGGGCTTCAGGAACACAAAGGAAGGTCTCTTCTTTCTGCACTAAGCTATTCTTTTCCCCACTACATTTTATCATTTCTTTTTCATTTGGATCCTGGGCTATCACAAAAGTGAAGGTGCTTACTGGAGGCAAAGTTTGCCACAACACAAGGAGGAGAGTGAAACGGCATAGTTGTTGGTGTGAAATTCTAGAAAATGAAATGCTTTCTGAATACACTTTCTGTAACCATCAAATTTTATAGCTGGAGGACAAACAACAGAAGTAATTATCTACTTCAGCCCCGTTATCTATTGATAATGGAAATAAAACCAACAAAGATTAAATGATCAGTCCAAAGGTCCTAAAGTGGCATTACCTAGCATTTTATGACACCAAAAGAGATAATACAATGCCATAATGCCGAGTCAGAAAAATTACCAGATAAATTCATCAAATTAATCAGACACATTGAAAACATGACTTTAGCAAAGAAATTTAATGCCTCCACAGGGAGTGAGAGGTCTTGCCTACTTGTAAAAGAGTATCTCGAGATTTTGTCTATTTTAATACTCAATGTATTGAACTCACCTTTCTACTTTGGAGTCAAATGCTACATTTTTGACTAAGGATTTATGCTACTAATATGATGAAATCATACATGCTAAAACTTACCATGATTTATTTAGCAATGCTGTGTATGATCTGATTCAATGGAAACATTTGAAAGTAGTAATTTAAAAAAAATATGTGTAACCTATATATTTGTTGTCAAAATATTTAAAATGGTCATGATGGATTTATAAGTTCTAACAGTTTGAGTTAAACAGATAAACCTGCACACATGAAAGCACAATAAACAGATCCTTTTAGCTGGGGATATTTGTTACAATTTTCAAGGCTAGGTACATTTTTATATATGTTCTTGGTCATTGATTCTTTCCCACCGTATTTCCATATTATTGTTTAAATAAATGCAGTTCATGTGTAAGTCAATAGGAAAAAAGTACAAGAGCTTATTACACCTTGTAGGAATTTTCTTTATGCTCATCCTGTTTTATAAAGTCACATGGTGTGTAGCTAAATCACTTTTCCAGTTCACAGGCCACTTTAAAGACTGATTCATTTTCACCAACCAGAAATGAATTAGCAGATGATTTGTACTAATGCAAAGCTTTCCTCACTTAAAAAGATTTTACCCCACCATGCCTTGATAGAGAGCCATAGGATCAGGAAGGAACAAAAATGATGAGAAAGTTTTCCTGAATTCCTATAATTTAGATAGCAGAAATCACAATTACATATTTGGATAACTCCATTTTACACATGAGCTTTTCATAAGCAGAAAATCAGACTGGATCAGACAATGGATAAACAGAAAAAAGAGTAGCAGGAAACGAACCTTCAAACCTCTTTTAGAACTTGAACTTTTTCTTTCTCCAAAGCCTGGAACTCTACCTGTTACATGCCTACCTCATTCATACATCTTTGCATATATTACTGTAATTTTTCTTTTTGATAGATTTGATGTTGTATCACTATGTGGTGGGAAACAACTCACATTTTCTAATTCAGTTTTCATACTTTTACACTTATTAGCATTGCAATTGTCATATATTAGCTTCTGCAATGAGTCCTCTATGGGTTTTCTTTTCTCGCAAGCATCTGTAACAATACATGTACTGCATCTTCTCATTTGAATCATATGCCTCATTTCATGTCAGCATGTAAGCCAAAAATCAAAAAGGCCTTTTAGATCACTACATCAAAGCACATGTCCAATGTCTACTTTCCACTTAGTGGTATTTATGTTCATATTTTTTGTCATTGGCATATCAAACTCTTTCTATTCTTACATCCCAACCTGACTTCCTTACTTTTTTAGTTTCTATATCCTTATAAAAATTCTCCTAAACTGTGTTAAAGACATGTTTAGCATTTGTTTTGTTATCATTTTCACAGTGTCATTTACTCTCATTTAAATAAAGTTTAGAAGATAACAGAGAAGCATATTCCTGTGACCCAGAGTATGAATGAGAAAGAAAGAAACTACTGTGACTGAGTTCTTTTTGTTCAGGAAATGCCTGAAATATTACAGAGATAGACACTCAGGTGCTTATTTTACCTTCCACAATCAAGTCTATTATTTGTTAAATTAGAAGATATTTCCTTCAAGGTTGTTCTTCCCTTAAAGTCATCATGCAGTGACTCTTCCTAGGGATAAACTGTAATTTTGTATTTTTCACAAATTTCAACAACACTCTGCTTTAACTCCTTTGTGATGAGTTTTAGTTTATTTTTCCACTCTACTTGGCCTTCTTTGATCCACAATTCCTCATACTTTTCCACACAAGAACATTGGGATATACAAATACATTTTCTGTATCACAATCCTTATTTGTTTCTAGTTCTTAAACCATTTTTGCAAATGTGGAAGATTAATGTGCTTATTTTGTCTCTCAGATGTCTATTCTGTCAGAGAACATGTTTTAAAAATAACTTTATCCTTAAGTAATCAAGTATGGGCAAAGAGATATAAAAATAATTAAAATTTAACTGATTTAACTGTTCAGTTTCTTAATCTATGTTTAGCTACTCCAAAGTCACTGGATTGTAATCAAGGAGAAAAGAATAATTTGCCTTAGACTCTGACAGAGAAAAACATGAACCAGCAAATTAAACTGTGTCACTCTTTCTTTAAAATGCACTTAATTTGCTGTTTTAAATCACTGAAAATGAATTAGCAGATGATTTGTATTATTTTAAAGTCTTCCTCACTTAAAAAGATTTTATCCCACAATTCCTTCAATAGTGAGTCTCTATACTTCATTCCAGTACTGTTTATAAAGGTTAACAAATGGAGACTAGGCAAACTTTAAATTCAGAGAACAAAGTTAACACCAGTCAGAAAGAAAAACAAATTTTTAAGTTTTAATTCAAATCATATACAATAATATGATGTTACATATCTAGACAGAGTATCTGCTTAAGACCAGTTCTAAAATATTCTAAGGTCTACTGATGACAGTGGATACAATTATTTTGACACTATTTATCAATTTTTTATGCATAATAAATATATTACAAACTTAGTGTTATTTCCTAATACCAAAGGTCTCATTCTGCAAGGCATGATTCTCTTAATACACAGTTGGATTGATTTTATGACTCCATCTTTTCCAGAATGTAGACAGTGAAGTGAATTAGAGACCAACAAGGCAGAAGAAATATTTAGTTTAGGCACTGGTGACTGGCAATGAGAAATTGCAAATGTGGAAACAATGGAAAATGCAAATGTGGAAACAAATGTTAAAACAATACTGTTTTAACATGAATCCACCTCAGTGGCCCTCACTGTGTAATTGTTCATAATTTCATTTGCTCAGGCTTATAATTCAGTACTTGATGTTACCTTCCTTATAATATAATAAGGTAATAAAAATGAAAGAACAGGCAATCCTAGCACTCTGGGAGGCTGAGGCGGAAGGATCGCTCAAGGCCAGGAGTTCGAAACCAGCCTGAGCAAGAACGAGACCCTGTCTCTACTAAAAAAATAGAAAGAAATTAATTGGCCAACTAAAAATATATAGAAAAAATTAGCCGGGCATGGTGGCGCATGCCTGTAGTCCCAGCTACTCGGGAGGCTGAGACAGAAGGATCTCTTGAGCCCAGGAGTTTGAGGTTGCTGTGAGCTAGGCTGACACCACAGTACTCTAGCCTGGGGCAACAGAGTGAGACTCTGTGTCAAAAACAAAACAAAACAAAACAAAAAACAGAAAGAAGAAACAACATTCCAGAAAGTGTCTGCCTCCATTCCAAGGGCAAAGATTATCTATAAGTTACTACTCACTTTAAGAATGGTTTAAGTTTTCTAACTGATTAAAGGGTTTTTTTAAATTTTAATTAAATATTAAATTATGACCTATGATTCTAAATTGCTAGTCCAGAAGGTATTTTACTTTGAACAATGCAATATTATTAATGCAAAGAAAAGAATATGAGACCAGAAATGTACATTTAAATGTTTTTTATACCTGTGACTGGCTACTTTCACTTGCTTCAAGCTTTTCTTGCTCTTCCTCTGATGTCAGTAAAATGTCTGGCTCTGCTGACAAATCTATATATTTAGTTACAATGAGACACTTAGAAGAGTTGGATAAAAGCTTTTAGTCTTTATAAAAATAGATAAAAAATAAAATTCACTTTTATTTTATAAATTGAGAGTTTAAATAAAGCTTAACCTTTAGCAGAATATCTACTTTTGTGAAAAGTACTTCTAATGATGCAAAACTTCAACAACCCACTCGGGGAGGCACTGGATTGTCACCAGGTACAACGCATACAAGCATTTCAAGGAGTCACTCACAAACTCATCCACCCAACATAAATGAACACAATCAACAGAAACAAAACAAAATTTAAAAGTATACTACAACTGACAAAGTAACACTGTATACTATTCTCTACTTTACAATAGTATCTTTTTAATGATTCAGAAAAGTATCATTATTTTTTAAAACTTTTATCAGTGTACACCCTGTTCCTCAATTCTGATATGCTTTCCTTTACTATTGTGACAAAATTTTTGGCAACTTCTAAGACTCAGACTGCTATGTGAAGTCCTCCTTGGTTCTGGCTCTTTCCTCAGATAAACAGGCATCTTTTTCCTTGGGGCTGCCTTAGCACTTCACTGATTTCTCTAATGTATCTTTCCCACCTGAACTGCAGGTGGGAAATTATTTTTTTCACGTCTATCCCCTTTGCTCCTAGACTGTAGGGATGATCTTTCAAAACATCTTAGCACAAACACTCTTTATCTATTTTACTCAATAATTATTGGCACCAGGGTTAAATAATATAAATATCCAAGTGTCAAGGATGGCTTTGCTAGGTATCATGCCTGAGTGAGGTGAACCACTTTCTACAGCTGAGAGGCCAGGAAAGGGTGAGAACAGGCCAGGAAGCAGCAAGGGAAAGAGAGAATCCTGAGGGATCACATGCAAATATCTATAATAGTGGTATTGACAAAGAGGGCATTTCTAGGAGTTCAGTTATGCCTGAGAAAAAGGTAGCTACAGAAATAGTTAGAGATATATTTCTGGGCAGAAGTCAGATTATGGAAACTTATGTGAAATTTTAAGATACTTGGCTATTAATATTTAAGTAGTGGTTCATCATCCTATGTTCACTGAAGATAAATCACTCTAAATGATATGAGGAAGATACATTTTAAGGGCATATAAATAAATGGAGATGAATTAGAAGGCAATATTGTAAAATAAAGGCAAAGCATGCTTGAAATGAAGGATTTTCTCAGAAATATTTTGGATATAAAATATCAGTGCCCAGTATACAATGAATTTTTATGCCACAAATAAATGTATAAATTGAGATTTTGTAATTTAAATATTTCAATTTTCATTTACAATATAGTAAATATGTATGACATAGAACACTTTAAAAGGTCTTTAAATCTCCATTTTTACTTACATTTATTTTTATTAGTTAAATACAGTAAATTCATTTGATGGAATAGTATAAAGAACTTAAAACAAAATAACCATAAAGTTCAGGGAATGAGCTCTATAATTTTTTGTTTCTACAATTAATTTTCTTGTGTATATCACATTGATCTCTTAAGGATTTTTAAGAAACAGCTATTTTATGGAAAAAATTAGCTTTCTTAAAAAATGCTTCTAAATTTAAATTAGTCTTGTTTAATTAATATCAAGGCAACACATATCTTTGATGCCTGACAATTAAGGAGAGGAGAAGTGAGTCTCTGTGGTTTACCTCAATTCTTGCTTCCAGTTATCTTTGGGAAAGAAATAATCTAATCTTCTGTATAAATGCAATTTTTCTGAGTACATCCAAAGTAGTTCTCTCATTTTTCCTTATCATTAACTGCAAAATTATCTAGCTAACTTCTTCCTTTCCTCCCTCTTCCCCTCTCCCCCATAGTCCCTCTTCATTTGCAAAAGTAATCACCAGATGTGTGGTCCCATTCTTTTGATGGAATATTTCCACTACTTTTTTTCTCTATATTTAGCAGTGATATATCTATAATTTCAATTTCTTCATCTCTTTGCTTTTCCCTTTCTGGCTAGAAACATGCTCAGAAATAAAGGCAAAATAATGCTTTCCCTTGATCCTACAATGTTGGAACTGTTGTCTATGGCTCTTCCAAATTTTTCTACAGGGAATTCTATGCCCTTGCTACTCAGGATGGTCCAAGGACCAGCAGCACTGACATCACTTCAGATCACAGTAGAAATACAGAATCCCAGATTTGGTGAATCAAAATGTCTTTCCCAGTAAAATACAGTTCTTACCTCCTACTTGTAAATTTACTATTTCTTTATCTGTTTGACTGGCAGTCCCAGATGAAAAACTGAGTTCCTTCTGTGAAAGACTCTCTGAGGAACTCTGCTAAAATTAATATCAATATGAGTTGCAATAAAAGAAATAATAACTTGCATTAACATTTCCTAATCACTTTCTTCAAAAATATCTGAGTTATTTTTAAATGCAAATAAACATAAGAATAAGAGAAGCATGTACTGAAAGCCAAAACATTTCAACAGAGAACTACATATATATGTATATATATATATATATATTGACTAGATCAAGCTCATCTTTAACTGTGCATGGGCCTGCACATGGAGCATGAAAGGCCAAATGAAGCATATTCACAAACAAAATATGAATGTATGTGCACATTCCAATAAGGAACTAAACTCAAAATAACTGACTCCACGTTGCATTCCCTCCCCAAAATAAGAGAACATTTTAGAAGACACAGTACACTTGCTATAATATTTGCAGCATTAAACATTTAAAATGTTTAATTATAAGACTTTTTAGTGTTAAAATTTGATACATGGCATGATAAGAAACTTTGGAGTATGTCATGTTCAGTAAAAACCAAACATTATTGAAGCTGCTTTATTTAGGTAAACAAGAGCTTTGAAAAATCTCAATACATTTTGCCAAAATTTTTACTAATAGAAAAGTGGTTGAATAAAATGACATAGTATTAGGCAAAACTTTTCTTTATGTCATATTTAAATAAAAGCATACATATAATTAGAGTATGCAACTCTTTCCCAATTAAGAAATCAAGAACTATACCAAGCATTAAAATAAAGGGAAGGAAGAATAAGAACATTTTAGTTTGAAGCATCTAAAATATGCCAGGCACTTATTTACACATTTTCTTTTCTATACATTATAGTAATAAAGATAAAATTGATAATCAGGATGGTTATCCCACTCCCTGTTTTCTGGTCTTTCCAGGATGTTCAGAGTAAAATGATGAATGCATGTGATCCATTGTTCTCTCTGTCCAAAATGTCCCCCTCTTATATTGGGAAATAGGCTAAGAGACGTGAAAGGTTTTAGGAGTTTTGCAGGGCTTTGCCTTGAAGGAATCTGTGGACATGTTAGTTCACAGAATAGAAGCTGCTTCCAACAGAGGAGACATTGTCAGAGGACGTTTGCAAAGCAACGTTTCTTCTTTGGTGCTAGCCATCACCTTGAGCTTTTTTGCAAGGCATACGCTCAGTTTGGGTCCTTGACAGAGAAGCTGATTAAAATGCCTGTCCAGCAGATAATGTGCAGCTGGACCTATCCTTCAAGGCTATTCCTGCTTTACTCCTGATTACATGTCTCTGTGTTTAGAAGTCGATTAGTGTTGTACATGGACTTAATGTTCTCATTTTATACATTTTATCTTTAATTTGTATGCTCAGCTAGGTCTATTTCTAACTTAGGGCTTAACATGCTCATCATAGAAAAATTTTGTAACCATCTATTCTTGTAGACAGAATTAGGTAAGGTTCCACTGGAAACCTCAAAAATGAGCTGTACACATAATTCTTTAACAAAAGACAACTATTTGTTGTAACAATAAATACTGATGTGGGATTTCAATTGGGGCCTCACAGATGATGGGAATGCTGGAGGACCCTTAACTCCCCCATCATTTAAACTGTATTTTCCCCTCTGTCTTAATCATTTCTCCATCTATATTATTTCTTTATTTCCTATTATTTACATATCCCTGTGACGATACTGCCTTGGGACCTGTTTTGCTGGGAAAGTAGCTAACTCCTAGCACTCCTACACTTTCACATGGCTGGCTCCTTCTCATCCTTTAGTTGGGAGCTTGAATATCACCTCAGAAAGATCTTCTGTGACTGCAGATTTCCACTCTCAGTCCCTTCCCCAACCTAACTACAATCTTCCTTGATATTCTCTAACCTAATATTTTGTTTTCTTTGTATGAAGCACTTATAGAGAGTTAGTAATGATGGTTGTTTCCTTGTTTTTTGGTTCATACTACTATAGCATAAGCCTTCATCTTATATATTCAGTGTCTAACTACTTAGCACATAGTTGGTACTCAACATCAAAAATTTATTTTTTATTCAAGGTCAACACATGTAAAATCTCATTGCGACATTCTGAAGCACCAAATCACTATATTCTTATAGGATATCTCTAGTAATAATTGGCTGAAACTTAACATACCCCAAATTAGAAATCCCCTTGCCCATTCTAACTTTCTTAACTTTCCCATTCTTTGCTTGACACTATTACCTTCAGGTTTAACAAAACTACTCCCAATACTTATTAAGTCATTAAATATCACTGGAATCATTTTGTCTTACATTTGTTCATAACACATATGTTCATTACACATACCTTAGAGGTAGACATTAGTACTATATTTATAAATGAGATCACAGACATTTAGAGAGGTTAAATAATTTTTCCAAGGTTCCATAGCAAGTGACAGAACCAGGATAACATGTTTTTTGACTTATACTTGATGCTGGTGCCACTATAAAGCCACTGGTTCTAAGAGGTCAGGCCTTTCCCATCTCTTTCTCCAGTTGTCACTTTATTTTATCTTTATGTTACTATAAGCATGGCTGCCACAAAGGTATTCAATGTGTTCTATTTTGGAAAATGATTTCTACTTATTAAAGCACCACTAAACAAAATTGTTGCTATTATAGTCCCACATAATTATTGATTATTCCCCATGATTTTCCTTCTCCTAAAACATTTGTTGCAGATCTACACTGGACAATTCAAATATATTAACACTTTCAAGTTCCAGGTATTATCTTTTAAAATTCCAAATTATAAAAAACTATAGACCAAATTGCTTTTCTCTGAATCTCATTAGGTCCCTTAATATCCATATTTACCATAGAAACATATATTTGGCCATAGTTGACTTGAAATAATTCTTCAGTTTTTAGATAAACTTAACTTCAGAAGCCAAACTGATTCCTTGTGACCTAAGCCTTATTATTCTGTACTATACTACACTGGCTTCTTAAATGAATCTTGCAAATTAGTAGAACTGTACTATGCAGCAGTAACTTTTTTGGCCATAATTACTTTATTAATTATGGGCTGAAAAATGAAAGAAAATACTTCCTTATGGGTATATGCACAGGTGATAAAAGGAAAGTCAAAGAATCCCCTTTTATGTGTTAACATCACTCAATGCTTATAGTTAAAAAAAATAACAAGAGACGTAGTACCTCCAAATGAAAACTTGATTCTATGTCTTCCTCTTCTGATCCTAATGTGGACATTACATCTATAAAATGATAATTTATTACTGTGACTTTTAAGGACATATGTGAGTCTATCTCCATTCCTGAATATTTCAATAAAACGAAAGTCATAGCAGAAAAGTATTTCAGAAGGTTGAAGCAGTTTTGGGAAGAAGAAGCTGGAAGTATAAAGAAATATAGCAAAAGAAAAATAGTTACAAGAAATGGATATTATAACTGGGTCTACCCATTAGTTTTTTCAAAATAACATTTAAGCATTGAAAATTTTTTCAGAGATATTCCTGAACTTACCACCCTTATTATTTTTGTACACACAAATAAAATTGTCATTACTTTTTGGCTCTCGTGGAGCACTGTCAATAATACCAATACCATTTTTTTCTTTTTTTCCAACTGCTGGCCTTCTTGCTTTCTCCTATTGGAAGAAAAAAAAAAAACTTCAGAAAATGTATTTATTCACTCCATGCACCCAGTCATTTGCTCATTCATAAGACTGCAAACATTTACTGTGTTTATCAAATCATATGCACTATCCTAGGAGAATCTAAAAATAGAAATAGAAGAAAGATTTTCACTTATATTCAAGTGGGGGTAGAAATATATGAAAATAAATAAGAAAAGTACAACTCACAAGTTCTACAATTAAAATAAATAAAGTACAGTAAGGGCACAAAGGAGAAACAGTCAATTCTGCCTGGGAAGCTCAGGAAATGCTGCAAAGTGGGGGCATATTTTGAAAGTTTGACAAAGTACAGAGTGAGAATGTGAAGGGTTTCTAGACAGGTGAGTGTGAGCAAAAGGATGACAAATGAGGGCTACAAAAGGAATGTGGTAAATCTGCAACACAGTTATAATTAGAATTAGATCAGAAGTCAAAATGGGAGAATGATGCCAAATCAAAAAGATGCATGTCACGATAAAATGTAAACTTTCCCCTTATGTAATGAAACCCACTCAATAATCAGATGATTTAGAGCATCACAAATATGTTTTAGAAAGGTCACTTTGGATCAATGTAAAGATAGATGAATATAAGGATAGATGAATGGCAAAACCAGAAAAGAGTATTTCAAAATCACAGGTCAGAAAGTGAATTATGGTGGTAAGGTATGAACAAGGGTAAGCAAGTAGAAACTATGAATTTGGTGTGACTGGATTGGTGATTTGAGGGAGGTCTGGAGTGCAGGACTTATCCTAATTCAATGTTTCAGTGCCATTTACTAGGTGTTATTTACTAGAATGGGGAAGCCAGATGACAGAGTAGGTCACAGAGCCAGCAAAGAGTCCTAGAAGGGTCAAGGATATCTTCAGTTTGGGACATATCAAATATGAGGCACCCAGAGGACATAGAAGACAGATCTGGATACATACTTTTGAAATAGTAATAGATGACCTTACTCAGGAAAAGCATATGCTGTTAAGAACATAAGTCTTATAAGTTATACTAAACTGGTAGAATTAAATAATGCAAACCTGTACCCTGAAAGTTGGAAAATGAAAACAACAGGAGGAAATAAGCCCATGGGATTCAATTTTTCAGTTTGACATTTTAACATTTTTTCAAGGATATAATATATACTTTTATTAATACATGCAACTATTTATTTCTGGATATTATGGTAGTATGTATTTTTAAATTAAATGAAAACATTTAATTCAAAAACACCAATTCAAGATGCTGCAAGAAAACTTCCTTTTAATAATTAATCTTAAAAGTTTTAACTTGCAAAATAGAAATGCCTATGTGATTACAGAATTATAAGGCATTTTTTAGTACTACTATGTAAGAAAGAAATGTAAAACCTTATTTTGAAATTGACATGGTTTTCCCCTGTCAACAACATACTAATAACTCTGATTGCCTATTTTTGCCTTGTGGGATGGTAGTTAAAAGTTGGAGAAAGGATCTAGTATAAAAAATGCTATGATTATCCAAGTTGAAAATTTAAAAGTCTTCCAATATATTTATGATTGTCAAGCAGGACCAGATATTCACAGGAAGAAGAAAGGTACTAAAAACTCAATGCAACAGGATTCCTGAATTTTACAGATTAAAGAATTTATAAGCAAGTTTTGACAACAATGAATGCTGAAGTTAATAAAGCTTCTGGAGAATAATAAAATATCCCCATTGCTGGAGATATTTTTAAAAGTAAGAAATGATCTTCCAGAGATAATTTTGTATACTCTGTTGGCAATCTTTCCTTTCTTGAGATTCTATGATATTAGGCAGTTTATTTCAGAAAACAATCATTAATTTTGATTGCATTCATTGGATGCATGAATGTAATGTCCATTACAGAGATACCATGAGCACAAGATCAATCAGAATAGCCACAATAAATATTGATTCATTTATTTCTTAAGAGGGATGTAACTTACAACCTCATCTCTCATTTAGTGGATACAGATTAAGAAACCTTTTATATAACCAGAAATTATAATTTTAGTTAATGAGAAGATAAATATAATGCTTATTATTTAAGTTCCCTTTTTATTCTTAAGAAATTCTGAAACAGCTACCAAGATTATATCAACTAATAAGATAAATTAGTTAAGTAAGTTGAGACTATACCACATACTGTTAGAAACCTTAAACAGAAAACAAGAGTCAAATATTAATAATTCATAATAAGGCCTGATAAGGCCTAAAATAGATTTGCATTATCTATGAATATAGGTTTTACTAGATTAAATATGCCACTTTATTAAATCTAAAAGACATAAGAATTAAAATTTCTTTCTTTTTAAATTTTTTAATTGATACATAAGAGGCGTACATATTTTTGGGTACCATGTCATATTTTCAAATGTGTTTATATGATTTATATTTGCATGAGTCACCTCTGTGGGGGAAATGTTAGAATTTAATTTTTAATAATATTAGTATCTTAATTAAATGGTTTTCACTGCAAATAGTACAAATTGCTTCTATCCTCTTGGTCACAAAGTGAAAAATAAATGATTGTATAGATTCAGGTCCATCCAACAAAGAGAGGGAAAGAGTGGATAAACCTTGCAGAGCAAAGATTGACTGATGAATGAAAGCTATACATAGCTAAGAAATAGAAAGGTGCACCTAAATATGCTGACAATGGAGACAGAGATAGACTGAAAGAACAGACACTGAGGAAATGTGTTCTGTGAGAAAAAATTTAGACTGGGGGAAAACATGTTGAAAAAGTGGGGCATGAGGGAGAAACAAGGAAAAAATGAGACATGAGACAAAAAAGGAAAAAATGAGATATTGTTCAAATATGAGCTTATTAGGACAAGGAAGAAAAGGAAAATCATTAAGTGTAATCAGGTATGTGCAGAAATACAGATACATAACAGAGACTTTTGTTCACAGTGTTTTCTTAATAATAGCAATTCGTATTCACTCTATAATTAATTTTTGTAAATACTTTTGTATTACAATATAGAGTTTAATTTTATCACTATAAAATAAGTCAACCAATTAGTTAAACATGGTCATCTACCAGGACCTAAAAGCTGTAACATTATTACAAAAGAGAGAGAAAAAATGGAAAAAGAAATGTTCCATCAAGATTCCATTTGGAGAAAGAATTGGTAATCAGCATTTTAAGGAGTAATATATGGCTAGAAAAGATATATTTATGAGAACATGGCTTGGGGCTACAAAAAGTTTGAGAAATTTTAATCTCAAATTCTTCTCTAAGCTTTCAGTTGGAGGATACTAGAAAATATATAGTAACCCTCTTTCCTATTATGACATGCTTCTAAATTGCTTTCTTCTTATTTATTACATATTTACTAAACATAACTCCCTGTACTTATACATCCTACACATTTAAAGGGAATATAAATTTAAGCCATAATTTTAGAAATGCAACAGATTTAATTATTAGATATATTATGCATGTTATATTATTTATAACATTCCATTATATAGAAATCCATTTGCCTATTCATTTATTCATATTAATATTCAAAATATTAAAATGATTCTTACATGTAAGATGTATTCTAGGTACTCCAGAATACACTCAAATATATTTCCTAACCTCCTTGAGCTCATAGTATAATAATTCAGAGGCTTTAAAATGATTTAAATAATTAAATATAAAAACTTCTGAAATTTGAGATTTTAAAATGTGATACAAGATCTCTGAGTGGATATTTTTACAAACTACAATGCCAAAAAACTTCTGAAATTAAAGGTTTACCATATGGCTATTCACAGTTAACAGTCTCTGCTTCTAGAACTGTTTGTTATTTGGGGCAAAACATGAATTCTACAATTAGATGAGGTGTCAATAAATATTCTTAAAGGAGTGACTTAGAAAACACAGTGGAATCCCTCTGTAATACACATTTTGGGAAAAAGAATTTAAATTTCTCTATTTCCACAATTTTTTTTTTTAAATTAGAGATGGAGTCTTGCTGTGCTGCTCAGGCTGGTCTCAAATCCCTGAGCTTAAGAGATCCTCCCAGCTCAGCTTCCCAAGTTGGGACCACAGGAATGTGCTACCATACCCAGCTAAACTTCCGTAATTTCTAATATTATTTTAGTCTAATTACAGAACCAGAGATGGAGGAAAAGTTCTCTCCTAAATCCTAGAGGAAGGTCATCATGAAGAAAAAAAAAGGAAAGTATATGTTATGTGCTGTACAACTGAGAAACTGAAAAGCACTAGGAAGATTCTATGATTACTGTAATAAGTATTATATTTGGATCCATTAGAGATTTATGTAGGCAAAAGTATTATAAAAGTCATGTTAATAGTATTTAAAAGTTGTAGTAAATATATTTACCCAAATAAAAACTGACTAAATTTTACATTTTCTCAATTGTGGAAAAGTTTTCCTAATATAATTTTCCTGTCCCTGTGCATTTTTCAGCTCATTCTTTTTTCCAGACACAACCCTCTCGAAGTATTAATCAATTCTTTGCAACTTGTCAATGTAAAAACATTTAAAAACATTCCACTAGTCATATGTCTATAAAATAGTTTTCTCTGACCAGCTTTCCATCACAAACATAAAATGATCACAGTTAGACCACTGTTAAATTTTAACAGTAAATACTATACAAAACTAGATTCATAGTGAGAAAATTCATTTCACAAGGGACCAATTTACCTTGATATCGTAATTGAAGTCTTCAGCATCTGGCACAAGCCATAAATCATCATCATTATCCAGAGGGCTAGAAAGACTTTAGGGCACAAACATAACAAAATGAGTGAGTTCATTTCTTTAATAAAAAAATTAC